ATTGAATGTCAACTACCTCGTCGAGGACACATGTTCTACTGATTCCTAAAAACGGGGATCTACTGATTCCCAAAAAGGCGGATCAGCAGTGTAAATTATCATATACCTGAGTGGGTTGCGCCAAGATGTCGAGGAACTAACCAACAAACCAGCCTCAATCTGAGCGCGCGATTGTTCTTGTATTCACCACCGCCGGAGTGCGATTGCCGCGGCCGGGAATCCAACCGATGCCTTCGAACTTTGCAGTGCGACACCCTATGTGCTAAGCTCACACTTGTGCTGTGCTTCAAACTACTGAAGCTGTAACTATCTGATGTTCGCAAATTTGCTTAGAAGTATGCTTATTTGTCACTGCGTAAAGCGAAGCTACCTCACAAGACCGAATGCTTGGGACAGTTGGTATGTAGTTATACTGGCGAGTTTTTTCAGCTCGCGAACATAGGAAAAAAAGGACAGAGTATAACGAAAAGAGCGCTGACTTCCAACTAAATTTTTTTTCGCAGAAGGGTAAAGTGTATGTGAAGAAAAGGGCGATGAAAAATGACAACAAAGAAAAGGGCCGGTAAAAACGAAAAAAAAAACAATTCGATCTCTAAAATGAGGTGCTGTCCGTTTCATGGCCGATCCCCTGTGGTGGGTTGCGCCCGGACTCTGAGGACCAACCAACCAACCAACCAGCCTAATAATAGGAGAACAACAACAACAACAACAATTATTGTATCAGTAGTTGGTATGAGCTACAAAAGAAGGTGACCAAAAACAAGTATCAGTAGTCAAAGCCCGTGTGACGGGTCCTCGATTGCCCCAAAGCCCAGCCAGGTAATAAAATTCTAACTGTGAGAATGCAACGAATGGGGAGCTTATAGGTTTTTCACCTTGTAAACAATTTTTTCTCGCCTAAATAATCTCGCTGGTAAGCTGAGTGAAATGTCAATTGCCATTATCGCACACCGATCGATGAGGGGCGTGTAAGTGCAGTCCCGGCAACGGATACCGTGGATGCCTTTGCACCACATTGTGCACCGTTATTTGGGTGCTCTCGCCGGCAGTCGCTTACGCATTTGTCGGTTTGGCCAACATTAGCCTTCCTACACGTCAGGGAATCGAGTAGACTCCCACTGCGCATGGGACCTAGCCTGACCTGTGCGCAACAGAGCAAGAAGTAGAGTTCGCACGAGGTGTGTAAACCGCTTGCCTAGTCTCTGCAATTTTTCAGGCGTTACACGTGCTTTGACTAGTGATACATTGATTAGACTTGTCTTTTTCCCTCTTTTTTTTATACCGGCCTTTTTTATTGTCCCTTTCTGCACATATATTTCGCCCCTCTGCGAAATAAATTGAGTGGGAAGTCAGTGCTCTTTCTGTCTACTTTGTCCCTTTTTCCTATGTTCGTGCGCTGAAACAAACTTGCCAGCATGAAATTGTGGCTACTTCAGCTGGCTGTGCGCTGTATGATAGGAGTGCGTCGTTTCATTTCACTTACCATGGTGGTGGTGGCTGTCGCGTTCTCATTGTTGGTACATGGTCACTCAATCATCTTCCAAAATGATCGGTTAGTGTGGTTTGTGCAAACACTGAAGAACCAAAATGACAAACATTGAACGTGCTTTTGAACAACGCATGTATTTTTGTCACCAGTGAATCAGCGATCGCGCAAGAACAGTAGTAGTGAGCAGCATACTCTCACGGGATCCGCTGCTCAATCTTTTGCATGAAAAGTGATGCGAGCAGTGTTTACGTGGTCCTCTACGGTGACTTAGTACCGGCTACTTGCGCCAATGCTTTCGGTTTTCATGTCTCTGTGTTTTTCACTCTGTTCCTGTTCGATTATTGAAGCTTTCCATAGTAGATACTTTTTTTACAAATCTTAGGTCGATCAGTAAATATAATTAAAAGCTAGAAACAGCTTCTTGTTGTCTACCTAGAGAGAATTTGTCCCAAGGTCGAATGGAACAGTTTTCATAACTACACAATGTATGTATTCACTTTCAGCGGATCAGCTTGACGGCTCTTGATGTGTACAGGTACACATCAAGAGCTGTTAAGGTGACTGATCGGCACAAAACAAAACTAAAAATGTCGACCGATGATTCAGGAATATGTACATCACTTGAAAGGTGCCATTATTTTATATGGCCTGGCTTCTGTGAGCTGACTCCTACAACTGTGTAGCGCCACCACTATACTGCAAGAGATACGCGGCATCGTCGGCTGTTTTGCCCTCAAATATTGGTTCAAAATATCCTCATACGTATATTTCAGAAATTGACATGAGCTAAAGCTATAGTTATCACGATTTTTAACCACCAGAACTTTCACACAAGACGCGTAGTGTCTAGACCAAGCACCGAAAAGTAATTTTTGCACTCACACAAAAACATGAGCTTCCACGTATCAAACGAAGTATGGAGTGCTGTCTTTCGAGAAGACGTGAAAGAGCGAAACTGCCATATTCTTCCGAGAAGTTCAGAATGAATGGGCGTCGTTTTATTTACAATCAACCGGCTTCGTTAGGTCGGCGTGAGGCCTGCGCTTGAAATTGTAGCTCGCATGACACGCCTAAGTTATCGAACGCGTAAGAACTGCACGCCTGTAATTATTTTCTTGAACAGTAACGTCACTCTGGTCGTCTGCTTGATACGCTCGTGAGTGCTTTGGTTTTGGTTTCGTCGTCGAACTTAATTGAATTTTATTATGCAACAATAATTACTCGAGGCCACTTTTTGCATGTCTCAAAGCTGTGATGGGTTCAAATTCTTGCATTGGACATAACCACTTGACTTCGCAAAGAATAATGTTAATTAATTTGACTTTTAACAGCAGTCTTAAATAATGTCCTTAACTATCGTAATGTGCATGTCGCTTTGGAAAAAAAGTGTTAAATCAGCGAGCTATTATCGCACTTTTCAGATTTTGGAGAGCTTTTGACACATTTCTTGAAACACCTGTATTTATGAATTCCTCTTGATCGATCACTGTGAGTGTATATTCTGAATCCTATCATAACTATAATAATAGTAATGAGTTCTGGGATCTTGCGTGTCAGAATCATAGCGTGATTGTGAGGCACACCACAGTCTTCTTATTTTAGATTACCTGTGCATATATCTTATTGTACAATTATGAGGAAGAAACATGCAATTGTGTAATAATGAAACAAGTAACTATTAACAAACTAACCAATACCGCCCAAAATAAATCGGGGAAGGATTTTGGTGCTAAGGCAGATTAATAGTGGCCAGTCATGTGTCTTGGTCTCGTAAATGTGACAAGTCCTGAATGGGCATGCTTTTTTGGTTTCATAGGCTGGATCAGTTTGCAACGGGAGTAGAGCCGCGTACGCACACTCCAGAGGCTATTTCCATTCACTACTGACTTAAACCAATTATTCACATTATTCGTGTTACAGAGTTCACGTGACTGTTGTGAGTACGAGCGTGCTTGTTGGCATCTGTTGCAGTCCAGTGCGAGGACAGAAGAAGCAGAGAAGCGGCACCAGCTCCCGTTGTGTATCAGAGACCACGCCGGAGATGAAAAGGAAACGCTTGCAATGAACACTGCACCACTGTAGTCAGTCTGATGCAGGAAAGCAAAGAACCCAGTCTGTTCATTCCGAGCCTCCTTTCGACTCCGCGGTACCTCACGACAAAACCGTCTCAGTAAAAGGAAAATGTGTTCTTTACAGCAAGAGCTGTTTATGGTTAGGATAAACGAAAAACCATTGCGCATCGCTGTCACGGATTGTGTCTATTGGCTTGGCTATCAATTACGTCGTTCTCAGTGTCGTACCGAAGCACGCGCGCCATTGGCTGCCCTGCGAGTGACGTCGTCCATCCCGTTGCAGCCGTGGCACCGAGCACCAGTTTCTATTGAGAGCTTCAATACATGTAAGCCAGGAATCTTATGAACTACCGAACAGGGACCATTTTATAAGAGCGCCGATAGTGGAAACGAGAGAGCTCGCGTTCGCCGGCTGATGCTGCAGCCCGGGCACAAAAGCAGGCCCGGAAGGCCGAGTGCCGACAGCAACTGCATACTGATGATCCGGCAGCCTTCCAAGCCGCACTAGATCGCGAACGAGAATGCAAGCGCCGATAGCGGGCGGAATCTTCAAACCACGCCACCGAGTTAGCTGGTGATGTCAAATGATTGCAACCTCGGTGCGCCGAACAAGTGGCGCTGCGGGCACAACAGCGCCAACGTCATGACTGCGGGAGTGCGTTCACTATGGCGAATGCCCGCTTTCGGCCGGAGTTCCTCCAGTGGTACTTAAGCTTCGACTGCGACGTCTGTGACCGTCTGTGGTTCGAAAATTATCTGTGATTAACGCATTGCGAAACGCATTAGACCACTCAATACACTCGCCGCGTGATCATGTGAGGCACAGTTTGTAGCATGTGAAATAAACACTGTGGTAAACCCAAGCAAAACGCGTCTCTAAACTCATTAAGAAGCACGATCTTATAACTAATAGTTGTAAAAAGCCTCATTACAGCGTCGGGTTGAAACCACTGCTAAACATCGAGACCGCACGCTTCAGCTTTCGGTTGTTAACCATTTGTACGGAGTGCTTGGCCGGTAATTTTTTCTTATTGCTGAACCCACTGTCAAGCCATTCCTACATACATATGATCTCCGGATAATTTTAGTATATGATGAGATGTAAAATGTTTCTACGCTCTAAAACATATCGAGTAAAAAGGGTGTCTTTTTGTCCCACAACAATAATTGTCATCAGGCTTACGTGGGCTTCCTTTCTTGAAAACTCGGTGCTGGCCACTTTCCTATCAAGAATGCAATGTAAGCCTGATAATGGGCATGTCAATCGTGACCGGAATGTACCGGGTGCGGGGCGACAGCGCAAGGATGGAACGCAATAGAGATGATGATTATTGTTGTGGGACAAAAAGACGCCCTTTTTACTCGCTCTTTTTTTCGAGTGTAGCAGACAAATTAAAAAAAAACAGACACAACAAAACCAACAACACACACCATAACACATAATATATATATATCTATATATTTGCTTAAACACACATGAGGATGAAACATACAGAACAAGTTGCACGCGATGACATCTTGTTCAATGTGGGATGAAAGTGTTATGGATACATCAAGCTTTGACCTCTCTCTCGCATGTTCTTGAAGATGTCTTGAACAGCATGGACTATTTGGTGCTGGGGTTTTAGAGGACCCGACGCTTCATGCGGAGTTTGCTGAAGGCTCTTCGAAGCGGATCACATGTGGCACATTTGGTGAAAAACGTAAAAAAAATACACATAAATTCCTGGATCTCTCCAGCGCATGGTCTTCATCGGTGAATTGAGCGTCCTCATTTGTCACTAAACGTGTTACAGAAATATACATTTCAAAGAGGCGCGTTCAGGGGCTGCTACGATTGTACAGACCTTTGGTTTCATGCTTTCTCAGTGTGGCACTGACATGCGGTTACTTGCTTCGCGAAGGCATTTAGAAGCATGTGCACCAGTACGACCTACTCTCAAAAACTTGAGTTACCATGTGATCGATTCCCGCACATGACAGCTATTAACTTCCGTGCTGAAGATAATTTTCTTGTTTCTCTCTCTTTCCTTTTTTATCAGGACAACCACATTGAGCCTGAAAATAGTGACAGCAATATAAGGCAGACTGGTGAAGAAGTTTAGTCCACAAATGCTGGCTAGCTGTTTTTGATAGAGTGACAGGGCTCATCAACAGCTCCGCATTACAGATAATTCTGACTTGCATTTTGCGTTTTACCACCCGTAAAAGTTTGTAGAGTAGACACAGAAGAATACTAGTAAATTAACCCATAAACGAAAGCAACTGGCAGCGTTGCGCACTTTGTGCATTGCGGACCGGTCAAAGAAGTTTCGCACAGCCACGTAGAGATAGTCCTCGTAGTGCGTGTCCCGATCGCATCCAGTCTACACATTATTAGGCACAGCTTAATGGGGCTAGTTGATTGTGCAACATCTAACACACGAATCGACAGATCGTCACGCTTGGCACAGCGATCCGCGTTTACGCCTTCAGTAACTGACAACTGTGGTCCTTGGCGAAAGGAGCCCCGCCGGGGCACACTCGTTTCGGCACTGTCCACTGAACCTTGGAGCATTACGATGACCCGTGAAGAGCGGCGTCCAAAGTGAGAGGCTGACGTAGCACCATGCTCGCTGCAGTCAATACATTGACTGTAGTCAACGTTGCCAACGCGTTGGGGTGGCAGCATGCGCGCGACAGGAAAAAGAAGGCCCGGCAGGTGCTTTGACGTCCTTCAGTTACGTTGCCCCATGGCCGTTATTAAAATTACTTGAAAGCATCGCTCTCAGCACTTATCCTTTTTTCTCACTGTCGTACGAACTTGTAATCTGGTTTTACTCCCATAATCAAGCCGTCAGCCAATGTCCATGATTAGCTTGCCGCTTAGTAGGAAATCTTTGCAGCCTTCAACAAAACTGACGCGCCGACTCCGGTAGCTTGCATCAGTTCCCTTCCTTGTAGTTGAACCAAGAATGATCGGGGCTGATGGGAAGATTGCTGATAAAGATGGTGCCGTTTCGCGGTTCATGAAAGCATGGCCCTGCAAGAGTCACTTGGATGCCTACAGCTGAAGTTATCGGAAGTTGTGTCTTTTTTCCTGAAGCCACCACTGCCGCCCAGCTCTGGGAATGTCCACAGAAACACACCCACTCACAGTTCGGAGACTTCGAGCTTCCCCGCCCTGTTGGGCGTCCCCATTTTGGTGAGGAAGACGCTAGCGTAAGGGCAACCACCGTTCTTGTTGTTCCTGTTAAGGTTGTTGCGCTCCGCCACCTCAGGGCACAGAAGGTCGGTTGAGCCACCGACGGGTATGCTGATATTTTGCACTGTGCCATTGGACAGAACGTACACCTCGGAACACAGCTGTGCGGAGTCGAACTCGCGGTCCTGAGTTTGCCGGTGCGTGTCCGTCGAAGAGGACGTGCTTCCCGACGGCTCGGCCACCGCGTTTTCGTCCAGTGAGTTGCGGTCTGCGGCCCTGCAAGTGGCAAACAGATATGACACGCAAATAATTTGTGCAGTCGGCCTTGTGATTGGCATGTTTGGTGAGGCTACGGGAGGGGGAAAGAAAGGATGGCTGAAGTTATATGGAGATGTGTATATATTTAGACTTATATAAAAGTGGGTTATGCTTTGTTATGTCATCATCTGCTGGCATAGAGGTACGTGCAAAAGGGTGTTTGGCCACACAACTGCTGCAGAGAGCAGACATGCACGTGCTTGTAAACCAACTTAGATCAGTTTCGGACTGCGTGCCATGATTACATTTCTCAAGTCTGATCACCACACTCGGTATCTTCGATGAGGAAGGATGGGAGGAATGAAATGCCACGCTTAATCTGCATTATTTGAAAAGTTTGTATTGAGCTATATTTACGACCTAGGTTTTTTATAGTTTGAAAAAGACATTCACATATCTAAAAAGATTTTAGTGCGAAGTATTCCCGTTGAGTGAGCACACTTTATCTGGCGATTGGTCTAACCGTTTTCATAGGCCAACTCCAAAGGTAGTGTAGGCCCGTCTTTTTGAAAATGCAGGCTGGGGCTCTATTCTAGCTATCGATAGTTCTCGTCTTAACTCTGGGTATCTGCCGCTTGTGCAACCATTTCAGTCTAACCTTATTCACGGCACTCTTCACTAAACGAAAAAAAAGCATATAAAAGTCATGAGTCTCTGGGTGGAGTCGAACACTCGTTGCATGTGTTCAAGCACAGCAGCCTGACGCATCGCTTGATGCGTTCGAATACCTCACCCCAAGATGCGTATTGCCCAACCCGACTTCAACGCAAGCTTACGCGCGCCGAATGCACCAGCCCTTGTCGCGCCACTGAGACGTTTGTGTCTCATGCTCACCTATCGGCAAGAAAACGAATCTCTGAACGATAACTGTAATCTCAGTGGAAGAAAAAAAATGCAAGCTAACTTCAAAATAAAAAAAATTAATGCTGAATGAACAGAGGGTAAACAATGTGCACAAGTGAGTTGTTCTTCCTCCACCTGGTTCATTGTTACTACATTAACTATTTTGATTGCGAAGTATGTATCCCAGTGTCGGGCTTGGTAAACTTGCTTAAATATAATAATGTGCTCCATTTTCAAGAATCACTGTGTCATGATCAATGTAGACATCACCAATTCACACTCATTTTAAAACTTCGCCAGCTGTTTGGATTTCCGAAACACGATCCTTCAGTACCCTTCGTCTCCCCAAAGAACAATGCTGCACGTGAAGACGCGCTATCAGATATGGCGACTCAGCTTCTAAGGCAAGGCATGGCACTGCTGAGCACGGGGTGGCTGGTTTTATTCCATGCAATGCCAGCCACGTTTTGGTGGTATAAAAAATAAAAAATAAAAAAATTCCATTTGTACGCGTGCACGTCGAAGCAACAGAGCTGGTCAAAAATTAATCGGTAAAGTCCCACTACGGCTCGTAATGATATATAGAGTGGGCTTCGCACGTATTTTTCTTTGCGTACCTTCAGTGCTTGTAATTCTTGTCTCTACTCCGGCGACGCACGCGTCGTTCCTTCCAAGACAAGCACAATGCCTCACTTCGCTTATCTGAGTTCGAATGTAAGGACTGTGCTGTTATAATTTCTTGTAGCCTGGTCATTTTGAGCAAGACATGCTTGTGAATTGATCATTCATAAGGACTCTTGTTTTTGTAACCACAGTTTTAATACGCCATTGAGAACGCTCAGGATCTGCTAGTTTTTTTTTTTTTGGGGGGGGGGGGGGGTGGCGCTGTCAAACTCCATAGAGAAGAGGATACAGTAACTAGCAAACTGAAGGAGCACATCTACGTCATGATAAGAGAAATGTGTGCCATAATGGGCCCTAAAGAACTAAGTTGTGCTATGTTACAGGTTCATGCACATTAAACGATGCTAAAAAGAACGACCTAAATGTTCAATCTAGATTGAAGATCTCCTGGTCTAATAAGACAAATGACACGTCTCTCCATCAGTGTCATAATTCAATTTTGTGCACATAACAAGAAGAGGAAAGCGGTTAGGGGACAGGCATAGATCAAACGAAAGGGCTAAGAGAAGTCAAATGGGTGGAAAGAGTACAAGGCATGTGTGAAGAGGCGCATCATGCTGCAGTGCTTGTTTTCCTACGATATACTAACCTTGTCTCTTCGTCTTCTTTATACCATTCGTTGTCGTACGAGTGCATCCAAATCGGGTTCGACCTATGAAAAAAGGGGCGTAGATTTTTTGTGTTCACTACTTGGTTTTCTAAAATCATAAGAACAGAAACATTGGCCAAATTAGTTGAAAGAAATTTTAAAACAATCTTTTTGTCTCTCTTTCTGTTTTTATCTGAGTCTCCTAAGAACAACGATTCTGCATGGCTCAGAATGATTTACTTGTTCAGCGTTCGAGCCGCCCTTAGGCATTAGCCCTTCCGTCTCTGATCATGCCTGCGTCGGTAATGAATACTATCGATAACTGCATCAACATTTGTACGCCTCGACATGTAAAAAGCATTACCCTATGAATCACAGGTTTTATTCCGCGAGTGCGGGATGATTAACGAGCTACTAGAATGTATCCAGAATTGATGTTTCCAATGCATATGACTATTAGAAATTCTGACTCGAATATTGTTTCGTACACATAAGTCCTTATTTGCTGAAGTGATCACAGTGATTGACCGGCAATCGTTCATGTATGCAGATAAAAAGTCACTCAATCAATTAGCATAGCTTTCAGAACAGTCCATCTCAGTTTTAATGTATAGTATGTCACACAGTGTTACCCACGCAACTTCATTTTGCCGCAAATTTTGACTACTATATTCAGTTGGCCTTGAAGGTTTTAATAACTTGTGTGTACATACTGCAGCACATAGCGTGATTGCAGCATAAATCGCTAAGTGCCTGAAATATCTTCGCTTACCGGGAAAGTGTACCACACGAAGCGCTCACCATATATATATAAACTGAATCTCCATTGGGGCAACAACATGCACAGTGCTTATTCAAAGCGCGCAGTTTTTAAACACGGAATGGCGGAGGCGTGGTTTTGTAAGTAGGTTCACAAACCAGCAGCAACATTAAGAAAACTCATGAATGAAAAGTTTGTAGAAAGAAAAAAAACCAAGTCAGGGGGCACCGCGTGAAAATTAGGACAACTTTATTTCATCGGTATTCAAGATAACGGTTATTTTGTCAGTTTGCTAGAAGTTGCTGCAACTGTTGAAAGAGCGGAACTACACGCAACCTAAAGGGCAGAATTAAACGAACGGAGCAGGAAGTTCTCCGTATATGGCAGCGTATCCCATGGTTCAGAGAAATTCGGGTCACGTTAAAGGATAGAGGTATAGAGGTTGTTCTAACAGCCTCTTACCAGGCAACACCAACTTCTAGGCTGCTGAACGATTACCTTAACGAGAAACGGAAGGATAAAAAAAAGCGTGATCATTGTGGTTTCCTGCGATATAGAATTTTTTTGGAATGGTTTACGATAGGTTTGTGGCTATTTTAGCATTCACACGCAGCCACAGTTCAATTGGCCCAACTTAAAGCTGTATTAACAGACGCTTGGGAGCACACAAGATTTTACAGTAAAAGCTGTTATGAGATCGAAAATCGGGTCACGCGTTGCCGTAGTTGTCCACCACTGCCGCCACCACCGGTGTCCGTAACCACAACACACGAAATAAAAAAAACTAGTACAAATGACACAGTGGGCTCGAGCCCGGGTCTGCTAGGTGTCAGCTTAATATATTCTACAACTGAGCCACACTGGTGCTTGGGACTTGTTGGCAAACTTGCCTTAAGCAGGCTTGATGTCGGGAAAGCAATCACGTTAATACGAGTTATAAAAGGTTTTAAAGCAGCGAAAACACAACCAGTCGTCGCACAATGCGAATAGCGTAAAGAGTGGATCGCCCAACGTTCCACCCCATTACAAACGCTTGTTCTTGTTCGAGTATTAACTGTGTCGCATACCCACTTCAGGCACGATTCCTCGTCGTCATCAGCCTCTGCATGAACAATTGGCACATAATTCCTTGCAAGTGTTTAGTGGATACCACGCTTCTAAGAATAATGACGAAAGACAGCATAGCGAATGCCAGCCTACTGCAAAAAACATTTGTATTATTAATGCCGTAGTGGGTATCAAGAAAGCGTGCTTGCAGCAGTTACCCAATGAGTGTTTAGAAAAGGCTCTGAAAGGCCGCTCTTTTAGCTTTCGCTCTGACTGTACTGCGCCTTCCATGCAGGCTTGGCGTTTTTTTTAAACTAACAGAAGCACGTGGGAATTAGTATTGCACTGTAGTGGCTGGGGCTTTAAAGCCACATTTTAGGAAGACAGATGGGTTAAACAGACTACACGTTATCGGCCCGTGTGAAATTTTTTCAGACAACGTATCTCAATATATATGACGGCAATTGTGTAAAAGCCAATCTTTAGTGACATTGCGTAATAATTAACTTTTCATTTTGAATCTTCATATTCACTAATTTGCATTTTGTTGCTGAAAATACGCGTGCTTTTCATTATGCTGCTTTGTTTAAGTTCCAGACGTCCCCACGTGTCAGCTAGACCGTATTTGGTCATCTTCACTCATTGCATATAAGCTACTCCTTGTACCAGACCAATGAATATTCACTCAATAGTCAGTGCTTGTGTTCGTAGCTCTTTCCGCTAATCCCACACCGTTCTGCATGCACTCCAATGCTTTGCACTGATTCCAGGCCACGAACATGAACCAACCCACCCTGATCACCGTTTCGGTTTATAGCAACTCTGATGATTCGAAAGTATGGTAGTTATCAAACTCCACGAGGCCACAAGCATAGTTCAATATTGTTAATTTTTAACAAGCTATCAGATTGGCAACTAAGTAAAAGCAATATAATCATGGCTTCGTAAAGTTCCTCAATTATATCATCCGTAATCGACCAGAACAGCACGTATAAAGCCAAATTCACCGGACTTTTATGATTCATTGTTACAACTGAAGGCGTGCAGCCTCCTAAACTTCAGCCAACCAAAAATCATTTGAAGGTATAAGGTAAAAATCAGGAAACAGTTCTTTCACCAACCCTTCGCTTAAGTAATAGTTCGAGTGATTCCACTGCAGCAGGTTTCATTTGACAACACAACGGCGCACCCATTCTAAACCATCGCCTAGGTTCATGATGCCGTTCCAACATAAGGAAATATTATAGCAAGCAGCGCAAAGCAAATACTATTTTAGCTGATGGAAGCATTGAGAGTCTAGGCCTTTGCCTCTATCTGAAGAATTACAAGAACAAACAACATCAATTACCAAAAACCAAATAAGCGTGCTCTGAAAAGAAATGTCGAAAACAAGTAGAAGTTAAGAATCGATCCTTTAGATTCAACCCTAAATCCTGGAGCAAAAGCAGGTACGTGTGCCCTGTCAGCATTAAAAACATTTTCACAAAAGAGCACAAGCTCCTGGAAATTTATAATCGTGTTCCACAGTAGCAATTTGCGGGTTTGTCACTGTAGAATACGGTAATGACAGTTTTATGGTTGCTTCTATTCAAAACAAGGGGATGAAATAAAAACGCAGCTGCTTCAGATTGAAGGCTCTTGATCACCGAAGTGCTGTGTATACTACAAGCAACAATTAAAGGGCTCTCTCAAGCTTCACATTTCAAACACTTATCTATTAAACAAGATTTAGAGTAGCCCACAAAATCAGTTTTATTTATCTTCCCCACAGAAACATATGGCGTATCATCTCGCTTCAGGATGTCATTTTGTCACTGCGGCAGGCGTTCGCTGCCGTTAATATCTCCCGGTCTGGTGACATAATAACAGCGTGTTTGTTTCCCGAATATCCCGTCGGCCTTTGCAAACTTTTAAGAATCTGACGAATCTTTGATGATGCTGTTCTTGAGAAGAGTGTCTATGGGAATATAAGGCTTTTCCCCAAGCAACAGTAACAGAAATATGCAGCACGAATACACATTAAAAGGCTCACTTTCAATGAACGGGCGTGTTAACGCATGCAGTATCGAACCAGATTTTTTTAACGCATTATGAACTGCTCTGTTAAATGATATAATGCTTAGATTATTCTGTCCTTCCAATTTTCACATGTGATTTTCAATAAAAGTGACAAAATTTCTTTTAGGGGCGAAGCTCCTCTTGGTCTAATTTGTCATGCATCACGCGTAACCGAGAGAAGAAGACACGAGAAGGGAAAAAAAGGCAGTATCTTCCAAACAGTATAATAGACGGCGCTGTCTCATAGATGTACATAGAAATTGCAGTTGGGTGAGAATATTCTAGAGGGCGCTGTACCGCTACTTCCCGATTGGTTGCTGCGCGTGCTGTGCCTGGGTACGCGGAGAACGGGCGCCTCTCTCAGTCTCTTGGATAGTCGCCGTACGTGGCGGATCGTTGCTGGGACATGGACGAAGCAGCGCGGCGGGCGCGTTGAAGACGCTTGCGCTCGGCTTTCTTGGCGCTCGTCTCGTCGGTGTTACCCGCGCGATCTGCATTCTCGAACGTGATCGGACGCATGGACACACGGGTGGACACACGGACGGATTGACGGACGGACGCTTCACCCCACTCATCATCATTCACTCCGAGAATTTGCTGTGATTGTTTTAAGTTAGACTTTACGTGACCTGAATTTTAACTGGCACGGATAATTGGTCTAGTCTGCACGCCCTTATTCAGTTAAAATATCTTAACTGGAGCTGGATGTACTGTTATATCGTGGACTAGCTTAAGACTATAGGCGCTCGAGTTTTCTGTGACCAGAGTATTTCACTTGTGCTGGTTATTTCGAAAGTATTTGCAGTATATTGCTGCACATCTCGTTGCACAACTTACGACAGGTTCGCGTTTTGTCAAATTCTGGAGAACATTTAAAAAAAAAAGAAGGCAAAGAAGCTGACTATGCTACTGCACAAACTATCAATATAACAAAGGAAACATAGCCGACAGCCGCTGTGACCTTTGCTACAGCGCTAAGCAGAGTTATTAGCGAAAACGGACGCTCACTGACCAGCACTTAAGCGAAACTACGAGGTCACAGAACCTCTGCAAAGGCATTGCGTAACGAGGCGAGCTGCCTTCAGGCACACAGACATCGCTTACCCTTCGACTGAGTGCTGGTTTGTGTTTGGCACATCCATGCGGTTTAACGCCGAATCCCGAGAACCTAGAAGCGAGGAGGTAAAAAAGAGTCAGCACAAGTACGCCGTGTGAAGAATATCGGCTTATATATAATAGAGCGCACCAAAGCAAGCAGCAGCACCAGCTGCTGTTTGTGGACCACCTGCATTTCTTTATTATTTTTTGCGCTTTGTTCTCAACAGCCAGACGCTTGGTGGATGCGTGACGTGGTTTCGAAATACTCTACTGATATGCAAACACAAGAGGCACGTTCTGTTGGAGTGCATAAGACGGGCCTTCCCTCTTTGATTCAGCTATGAAAGATGCTCTATTAGCTTCAGATGATGTACAACTATGAACACTTTAGAGAACAGCGCACAAATTTTATCGGTCATGTGATTCGATTACGGTCGCCACCCTAATATACCAAGAATACAAGTAATAGACGTATAAGGTGCGATGCACCCCTAGGCATGCATGAACACAGAATTTCATGTTGATTTGATTTTATTTGTGGGGTTTAACGTCCCAAAACCACCATTTGATTATGAGAGACGCCGTAGTGGAGGGCTCCGGAAATTTCGACCACCTGGGGTTCTTTAACGTGTACCCAAATCACAGAATTTCATGTGGCACTTAACTGTGCCGTACAAGTGAACTGCGACAAAATCTCCCTATGCTACTAGCTGGTCACCGCTACCTTGCCGTAACTTCAGAGCTATACTCTATTAAGACAATGCTTTAAACATAGATACATATTATTTCACTGTCTTTTTCCGTTAAAATACCTAGTTATGTTGCTATTTTATTTGTAATTACAGTATCAACGATAATGTTAGTGTACTATCAGTCTACAGTAATATTCAAACAGAACAATTGCTAATTAATTCCAAATGAATGTTTGAATGTTAAATGAGTATCTTGAATGCCGTAATGGGCTTAAACCTATACCATTTTCATCTAGTTTCTATCATAATAAACTATGCATGCGCGTTCCCGAAAGTTATTGGTCACAAAGGTCAATCGATATCTTTAGGTAAAAATGGAAGCTTCCAATTATTAACTATTGAAAAAATATTCACCCTGTTTAAACCGAGGCCTCGAAGAAATCAATCAAGGTACCAGTGCTTCGTTCAATAACGCCTGGAACTTAGAACAGCGTGTTTACGATAAAGTGATATTACAAATTTAAAGTGCACCGCTGTTACTGGTAGCTCCTTTTTCATTTCGTTTCCTAGAAGCCCATCGCACCTCCTACAAACGCAGTCTTCCTTCAGTATATATATATATATATATATATATATATATATATATATATATATATATATATATATATATATATATATATATATATATATATATATATATATATATATATATATATATATATATATACATTACGTCAGGCGTCTTCTGTCATGATCCGTTCACCACCCTCTCCCATAGCAACAGCTGTGGGCGCACGTGCTGATTTTAACCGTGCACGCTAGCTATTAGAGCTGAAAACGCATAGCGCGTTTGTCGCGACAAAAAACTCCACGTGCGGCAAATGGCGCTATTGGCTGCGTGGTGTAAGAAAAAAAGAGAAAACATTATTCTTCCAACGCTGGTTTGTCACGTGCGAAGTGCAAAACGTCGTTATGGGCGCTACGCAATACATTCGCATTTCCTCGCAATTCCTTCCGAGGCGGTGGGGGCTATTTTTCCCATCCGTATTCGATCATTTTTTTACAAATAAGCATTAAGGTATTGTAGGTGATACATGATATAAAGAAACTGCAGGTCCGTGTAGAGCTACTTCAGTGAGCTTTAGATCGATCGAGCCACATGTAAGTGTCAGTTCGTTAGTTCTAGCATTAGATTTTGAGCGTTTTTAGCAACAGAGGTTCCCTTCTGCTTACTTTCTTCCAGTACTGTGCAGTGCAAAAAAAGAGTTCTTTTTTTCTAGACTTGCGTCAGAAAGTCTGTCGAACGGGAACGCGAACAGCAAACATTTTAGACCAAGCCTAGTAAAATCAGTCATTTTATTACTCCAACTCTTGTACTAAATGTCCATACATATAGGATACAAAACGAGTGCAAGTACGCACAAGCTAGACTGAGAATACAGCCTGTCCAGTTTATGTTTAGTTCCCTTACAAACAATTTTCTCATCACTGCACCTTGTATAGGTTTAATTTCCAAACATATACATGTTGAAATTAACATGACATATTTAACTACAGTGTGAACGCGACATTAAAAGATACTAGATTATGCCACCATGCATTACTCGCGGCATTTGAGAGCTAAAGGTGATGACTGAACGACTAAGAAGAGAAGTGGCGGCGACTATCGTTTAAGTATGATGGCGTAATTAGGTGCACATTTTGTGCCACAAGGACGAAGTCAACGATGCACTGCACGTTTGACCATGTGCATAATAATTGTATATGATGCATTTAATGGTAAGGTGTGTTTAAACACGTCGCTTTTCGCCCACTCAGACATAAAGCGGCGTTTTTCGGTGAAGTACATTTTTAAAGCAAAAAAATTGTGTTCTTTAGACTCCGCTCGTGAGACCTGAAATTTCCAAAGAACTTGAAAAGTTCACGGCATAAGATGTTTTTGTTTTTTGGCGGTATAAAAGTGTACCCGCCTTTACTTCAATAATTTATTTAGCAAAACTAAATATCTTTGCTTGCTCTCATTCTATGATCAATGTAATTAAGCAAACGCAATCAAAACAAATATAGTCATAGTTTTTCAAGGTAAAACAGGCTTACCAAAAGCAGTCGCAGTCGCTGCTTTTAGCTGGCGTTCATACCTTAGGGGAAAAAACATAACACAAACATTTGACACAACAGCTCTTTGCAGAAAGTGAGATACATACAAAGTCCGTCCCAGAAGTTGTTCCAGTGACGCCACATAGAAGTGCAACAAGGGATGTCACCTTCCCCGCTTAATACTGACCGGTTGATATTTAGCAAGAGCCGTTACGCTATAGAAAGTAGGATGTTTTACTCGCAGTTTTACGCCACCTATTCTTAGTTAAACTAACGATTAACAAACACACAAAACAAAAGGTTCAATATCTGATTCTTTGAGAAATTTGGCAATATTAGTGCGCAAACTTATCAGTTTTGCAAAATGCAATATGTGTGGTCTTTCCCCTTGATGCCTCAATGGAAAGAACCACAGACAAATAGGTGCAATGCTTTCGACAACACCGTGAATACATGAAGGTTGATTTTGGGGAAAATGCTCTTTATGGGTGTACGCCTCGTAATTTAGGTGGACTACGCAGTAAAAGTGCGGTGCGACCGAATTCGTTCGTGCTCCATTGTAGTAAAGTAAACAGTCCTATTTTTGGCAGAGCCTTCATGTTTGAATATAACTGTCCCTCTGTACGTATTTACATTACCCCATCCTCTCTTAATGCTTCATTTTTTTTTCTTCGATGAACCTGCCTAGTCATTCACGGATGACAGTCATGACCACCAAATTTCTTTTTACTGGAGACAAGCTGTCGGAAACTATGTACCTGTAATATTTTGCGGCGTCTGTTTCAGGTTTTCTTCAATCAGTTTGTAATAGAGACGGCCATGTGTTGATAGTGTGCATCGACAATATTTTTAATGAAATTTGCTAAGGCACATTGCCGGACTAGTTGGTTGGGGTGGATGATTTATATGGAGATAGCACACCACAAGTACAGCGCCTGTGTTGAGGGTCAGTGAAGAGAAGATATTTCCTTTCCTGTATTTGCAACAATCAGTCTTGATAACTTTTTTTAAAATTACGACCCATCATCGGTGCTTAATTACATAGGAAGGTGTAAGACAAAGAAACGCATAAACATTGCAACTGCAACAAGGAATTCAAAAGACATAACCCAGGAATGAATATCGCCTAGCTGTCGCCAAAATGATGTTCATATATGCACGCACGCGCATGCCTATAGTATCAAATGTAAATGAAAAAATAATCCCAACACGTGTGCTCTATTTTTTATTTAACCCTATACAATTTTGTTCGGCTAAACCATTTGTACTTGCAACTAACAGGTGCTCATCAGTGTACTTATTGACCAGCAATATTTTCACTGTTCTGATTACGCCGATGATCGTACCACGTGTGCGTGCGATGAAATAGCCCCACTACATACGCTCTAAGCGCCAAAATCTCCCATGTTTGTTGGTCTGCTTTTTTTCTCGCTCGCATCAGTTGTAGGCTGCGTAAACAGTACAAACGACAAGAATGAAAGAAACACATACGACAAGATTGGCGCTGAGCTTCCAAGTGGTGTTTTCTTTAGGAACGGACAGTAATCTAGACCCTGTAAATAAATGCCGCGCACGTTTCAGCAGATGATTTTCACAATTTTTTGTTTCATAATGTGCGCATATTTACTTGATGTGAAGGGCATGCGTGAGGGTTTGTTTCTAATAAACGCTACTTGGAAGTTCAGCGCTAGTAGTTATGTTAATAGCGTGTGTTTCGTTCGTACTCGTCACTTGCGATGTTTACGTACCAATCAAAGATGAGTCAACTCACACTACTAAAGGCATTGACGCGTCAGTTGTGATAACACAGCACAGTAATCGCAACACTCCGTTTCAATAAATATTACCCCACCAGTTTCATCTCATGTCCACGCACACATACTTAGTGCATGCGCCATGTTGGGCTGAGTGCCGTTTCGAACAGGTTCAATGACACATTGATACTACTTTACAACATTATCAGTGAGGCAAGCTCATAACAGTCATCGGTCCTCGATTCACATTGTAGTCAGAAAAAATGTGACTGTCTCAGCCACATCAAGCTAACTCGGTGCAGGTGAACGGACTGTGTATAATAGCGTTTTTGTTTCACTCAGTTTCCTCCTATGATTTGGTAATATTCCGCCGTTCCGGGCATCAGTTGCCGCACTCACCGGCTCCTCTGGGCGAGGCAGAGAGATATGACGAGCGCAAGCATCACGGACAGGAACACCGAGAGGCCAATAAGCCACGTGCGCATCTGGTCCTCTTCCCGTTCGGCGTCGCTCAGGGCGTCCGCCGGCTGCAAGCGACGGATGGTGTGAGCAACGCTACGGCACGACGCTGCCGCAACTCTCGCTTCCTCCGATTGGTGATATCTCAGCAAAATGAGTAGCCAAGTAGCCACGTGAGCGAGATATTACTTCATCGAGCACAGACGACACACACAAAAAAAAAATACTGAGCGCAAGACATTGCTGAGTAAACTCCAAATTTTTGAAAGGAAAACACTGCAAAGCACTTCAAAGTAATCGTTAGATGTGAAAGAGGTACTCTTTCTAATGATACCTGTTGTAATGTCTCGAAATCTAATTTCAACACCACCCAAAGCTGAAAAGATATGATATCGTTCATTTGATTTTCGGGTCTTCACTTGCTCATTATTTGTGTAATCGCTCATATGTTTACTGCGTAGCGATAATCAAAATGCACGTGCCCCTGGCACATGTACTTACCTCGCTATAGAGTACGTTGAACTCTTTAAAGAGCTTATCGAGGAACTCAATATTCTTGTCTATCAATCTGGAAACAAAATCGGGGAGGCGAAGGTGAGGTGCAAGGAAGTTTAAACCACACGGTTTTGCCGGGGGCGAGGAAATGTCAGGAAACATGACTCACGTGAGAACGTTGGACACCTCTATAATGGAGTTGTCGTCCCGATTCACGAAATGCAGGTACAGGTCGCTTCTGCAATGCGTCCAAGAAAATTCAGGTCGAACACAGCGGCGTCCGCGAAACACGATGGTGTGAACCAGGACCACTTACTTTTTGCGATCTACAGAGCCGTCTTCATTTTCGTGAACTTTGTATTCGTCAATATTTACAATGGCTCCGGTGATGTTGGCGAGGACCCTGTCAAAATAATCCGAGGGGAAAAATGAGTGATTCAGACTAAAGCCCGCCTAAGATTTGTCGACAGGTTAGAAAGAAGCTCACTCTCGAAACTCTTCCATTTTTTCCCGGAACTCCTCTGGTGTCAGTCGAAGAACGAAGCGCACGCGCTGGTCTTCGCGCAAGAGGTAGATCTGTGAAATACACAAAAACAAGCGTGTTAGGCAACAGCAGCCCAGAAATTTTTATGATCTGCTTTGTTATATGAATTCACTAGCCCAGTGACACGTTATTATTCGTATTAATATTTTTTTTTGCGTTTAGCGTGATTTGTGCTACTGGTGGAGGTACTGTAGAGTACACGTATTCTGTCAATAAAAACGACTCGAGGACACAAATGTTCAAGGTATAGGCTAATACTTTTTTTAATTATATAATGCTGTACCTGGAAGGCAATAATCAACCCCTATAAAATTTCGTTTATATGTGCGTAACCTTAGCTTCGAGCACAATAAAAAATGACACCATGAAAATTTATTAACGCAACAATCCGAAAGGCAATTTTTGTTAAGGCAAAACAGAAACTTGCGGTTGCTGCTTTGCCTCATCAAATCGCATTGTTCGCGGAACGCTACTTTATTTTGGGGCGTTTATTTTCTTCGTTAGATTCATGAAAACACCAAAAAACTAGAGTGGTTTATGCAGCAAATAGATGGAAGTGAGCTCGGTGTTGAGTTCACGTGATCATGAGCGATGATCAGTATGATTACTGTTGAGAACACAAACATTGTCACTCACAAACACGCTGGCAGTGTCGTAGAAGCCCTCTGTGTCGTTAGCGATGACCTCAAAGTCAAAGTACCCCTTCATGCCCTTCTGCGGATAGAAGTTGAGGCTCAGGTCTCCGGTGCGGTGGTTGATGAGGAACGGTGGCCCCGTCAGGGATTCCAGCCCCTCGGAAAGCGTCCTCCGGATTTCACCACCGATGTAGTAGCTGACCACACTGTTGATGCCTTCGTCGCGATCAATAGCCTGCAGCACGCGAATGCTCTTTTCACAAAAGCGCGGTCACACAGAGCACACATGTCGGGTATATCTTTATTCGTCATGGAGCTTCGCAGCTGCAAAGACCGCCGCCTGTATGAAGCTAAGCGCCGTGTGTAGCCGCTAGTGAGACATGTGCAGCGATTTCCTTGAACTTCCGGAAGCTGATTTATCACAGGTTCCTATCTGTCTTACGTAACTGCTCGCTGTTGCTAGAAACGGTGGCCGGAAATTTCTGGGAGGAAAAAAAAAAGAACTCTCAGGAAGTGGCTCACATCTAAATCTGCGGATTTCCTGTGCCATAATACGTGAAAGTGGTAATTGTACGTGAATGCATTATGCTGAGAATGCGGGCAATTTTTATGCAGACTCAAAGTGCGGCTTTTTGTACCTGTGTTTCGATTATCAATTAACTCTATTCTGCTTTAATAAAAGATGAATGACCGAGTACGGTAAGGCATCCAAGGTGTATAGTACGTCACCATGCACAGTTACACATGAGTAAAATCTAGTACTAGGTGTCGCTTTTACCAAAAATGACCTAAACGACTGAATGGCTCACAACGTAGAAGCGCTAGGAGGCGTATAAAAGTTCACAGTGTCACACTAGCTCTTGGCTCCCCATAGTCTAATGAAGGATAAAGATCAGGTGGTTTTCAACAAACACTCTAATTGCAGCGGTGCCCTGATAAGGTAACTGGTACAACTCTTCGATGAAGGAAGTCAGGACGGCGGGAGGGGAAGATTCATACATTTACATAAACACCATCAAAACCAGTTTTTGCTATCCCGGTGTCTTCCAAAAAATTCGTTGTTTCTTTACAGCTGCAAACTCTTGAAGCATGGCAGCACTTCCGTTTGTGAATGATGCTCAGTCGTCAGCAGTTTTAACTCGAATTCTGTGATGCGTGGCCTCGGCTCGCTTTACCTGAGGTCAGCGCCACCAAGCGTTGAACATGATATGCTTCTTGCTGCAGTTAACAATAGATGTAGCGCGCGTTGGTTTCACTATTGAATTTCTGTTTCCAGTCTGCCTGACCAGCGGGTCGAATTCACTTACTTCGCATCCCGTTTTCGCCACGTTTCGCTCATGGCTACGTTATCGCGCGCAACCATGGCGTTCGTTGTTCTATTCTTATCTTGACAATGAACCATTGCGTGCGACAGCTTACGCACCTTTCGAGTTTGAATTCACAGAAAGGAATCACATTTATAAATAGCAGAGCAAACACATGTTCATGGCCTTTGTAAAAGTTGCAGAATAAATAAACCTCAAATGCGGTGCCCTCCACTACGGCGTCTCTCATAATCAAATAGTGGTTTTGGGACGTGAAACCCCACAAATTAATCAAACCTCAAATGCGGTGGCGGTGTTCATGGTCTGATTCAATCATTTTCAGACAGCGTCCATTGAACTGTTCTCGCAATTTAGAGTGTACCTTTCTGTTCGGTTTACGCTGCATGGAAGATGTCGTTTAGAGCGCAATGTTTGTGCGTGTTCTCAGCAAGAAAGACGCATGGATACGTTGCAAACAAAGTAATTTTTGTGCGTTGTTATTGCATAAAAGCCTAAACTGCCATTTTATCTTACAAACAAATTGTGGTTCTGGGACGCTAAACCCCATATATTGTTACCCACACAAATCTTGTGCTCCAAGACCACATCTTTCGTGCAGCGCGAACCGAGCAGGAAGGCACACTCTAAATTGCGAGAACAGTTCGATTCACGCTGTCTGAAAATTATTGAGTCAGAACACGAACAACGCCACTGCATTTCAAATTTATTGGGCTACTTTACAAAATGCCTTAAACGTGTGTTTGCTCTACTTTTTATTCATGCGATTCATTTTGAGCAGCGGCTGCGAATTGAAACATGAAAGGCACGTAAGCTGTTGCACAGAATGCTTCATTGTCGAGATAAATATAAGACAACGAACGCCGTGTGTGCGCGCGATAACGTAGCCATGAACGAAGAGCGGCGAAAACAAGACGCGAAGTGAGTGCATTTGACCCGCCGGTCAGGCAGACTAGAAACAAAAATTTACTAGTGAAACCGACGCGAACTACATATATCCTTAACTGCAGCAAACATATCATTTTCACCGATTGGTGGCACTGACCTCAGTCCAAGCGAGTCGAGGCCACGTGTCGGAGCGTTCAAGTTAAAGGTGCTCACGGCTGTACTCGTAAAGGTTGCGTTACTTCACAAGGAAGTTCAATTGTAGTGGCTAAAGCCTCCCGAAACCACTGCCAGTTTTCGCGACATTGCTTGGTGCAGGTGCTTTGTGCGAACTTTGTGCTCTTTAGCGTGAGGCGCGTCGTTGGGCGCGTGTTGGGTCACATAAAAATTTTGAAATAGACGACTCCGAACAGATCCGGGACATAAACTTCCCCGACAAGCACGATGCGGAAATCGAGACGGTGCACGAAAAGTCGGCACAGTCTCGCAAAATCCGGTACGGTTGGAAACACTATCCCGGGACGAAGAATTTCCGAATACTCTCCCGTTACAGTATTTTCGGACAGACAGTTCTGTTTGTACATAAAATGCGTTGAAGTACTAAGCCGTTAAAATTACCGAGCGAAAACACCCAGGTTCGCGCACTGAATTCAGTTGATTCATCGATTGAGAACAGCCAGTAACGATAGCAGGAGGTATACGCACCTTGACAGTCATGAAGACAACCCCAAAGTCTGCCTCCATTGTGACACCGCCGGTGAAGACGCGGCTCACAAACTTCGGCGGGTTGTCGTTAACGTCCAGCACAGTGATCTCGACCTGGAGCAGTGTGTTGTCTTTGGGGTCGAAACGGCTCACGGGCCGTGGCTCGTGGAAACAGTCGTCCGATGCGCGCACCACCAGCGTGTAGTTGGCCTGTTCCTCTCTGTCGAGTGGTTCTGTGGCCGACAGCTGGTGAGTGAAGATGTCCAGTACAAAGCGGCCTTTCTCGTTGCCCCCTGTGAAAGTGCAGTGGCGGCTGTCAGCTTAGGTGACACTTTGAATATTGTGAACGAAGGTTGTGGTAACACTTTGTAATGATATTAGTGAGAAGCCTTCATTACACAATGCAGATCGTAGCGCCTTTAAGGTGACTTCAAATAAATTAATATGGAATTTCGCTTCTTCAGTATACCGAGATACGATAACTTTTCGTACACTCAGGCATACTTGCTTATTTTCGTCAGTTGTACGAATGCATTTGGTTATTAGATTACCTAATCATGTACACTTATCGCTTCAAATATCAGCACGTAGTTCAAATTCGAAACTCACCGACTATGTAGTAGCACGGTATGGGCTTCAGGATGCTAAGGTCATCGTCTCTGTCGATCGTGCTGATGAGCTTGTAAGTTTCCACTCCTGGTTTCAGATTCTCCGTGAATGTGAGTTGGTGCTGTGGCAGAAGCAAGAACGGGGAGGAACAACTTACATACACGTAATGCAGCCGATAACTTATCTCTTTCACGACTTTGGGAAAAAGACACAACAGTAAACCGAGTGCACCCGATTGAGTTCAGAAAATTTGGTAAAATTTCTACAGTATCTGACAACAGTAATCCTGCATAAATATATAGATAAAAACTTATATATTAGTACCTAACCTTGCCAAGTTCATTCCCTTATTTCAGTAACCCCCCCCCCCCCCCCCAGGAGAAAAAGAGGAAGAAAAGTGAATTTCTTACGACGTCTTCGGTGAATTCTGGCGCATAGTCGTTCACATCCGTCACGAATACAGTGAGGTCCAGGTCACTCGACAAAGATGTCGGCTGCCCCAAATCGTAGGCTTCAACACGGAGCTGCATGTGCAACGTTGGATTTGTTAAAACGAGAAACAGAAATGTGGCCATCAGAACTACGTGAAAAATACGCTAACACGGCTTAGATGTGGAATAGTTTTATAGTTCACGTAAAGCAGGTTAGGTTAATGACTTAGTCATTTTGCCTATAAAATACTGCTGTCTGTCGGCACTGGGTTCCTCAAATATAAACTATACAACCACGCTGGATATGGCTCAATGACTGCGTGACATTACGTTGTTGTACAAACACGATGTCGTGGACTTGATACTCAAGCTATGATGGTCGTGCAGTCCAAACGAGAATGCACCCATAAAATCTCCTTTACCATGTTTCTAGTGCCATTTCACGAATCAAAGCTGCTCCAAAATGACTTATGGTTACCGCCGCCATCGCGTCCCTCATAGCCGTTTGTGTCAACTTGAGATGTTTAGCACTACACCAAAATCACTGAAAAAAAAGAGCATCTTTCGCTGCGAGAGTCGAGCAATGAATGTGCTAGCAATAACTTGCAATGTTATACACAGTAAGGATAGAATATCGCTCCTCTAGTAGTTGGCGTCACATAACTCGCCAAAGGCTGGTATAAGGAAACTAGGGCGCTACAGGGAGTGAAGTGACCGTATTGTCTATCGCGTCAGTGCAAATTGAGCGCTAGAAACTCAGTACGTATAAACGTTTGAGACGCGTGCAAATTCTTGCCAAGATAGAGCGCACTTCACCGTGCTCGGCCTTTCAAATTTCTCAGCTTCTTGCGGAGCCACGCAATCTTGAACCGCAATGGGCCTTTCGCGCGACGGAGATGACCAACGTGATTCCTCTCCGCTTCAGCCACAATATTTCGCTGCCCACGCACACTCTAACTCGCACATGGAAGATAAGAACCACAGTTTGAGGTCATCACCTTTGTAATTTACACAGAAACTCACGGCAACGGCGGGAAAAATGCGCCTAGAGTACTCATATAATTGCTATCGCAACGACTGCAGCCATCGCACAAGGCAAATAAAATAGCTAGACGCACCTCGTACACCTTCTGCGTCTCACGGTCCAGCGTCTGCCTCAGTGTAATGACGCCAGTTCGCTCGTCGAGCCGGAAGGTTCTCCAGTGACCATTAGGCAGGTCCTTCAGACGGTAACGCACCTCTGCGTTCGCTCCGAAATCGCTGTCCTCTGCACCCACTTCCACCACCACGGTACCTAAAGTCGCATTCTGGTGAAATAAAAAAAATGAACGTAGGAGCTCAACATGCCTTCTGTGCACAAACGACTTTTCTTTTGTAAAGCGCGAGCTTCTGAATTATGCAAGTTTTGGTCGTAACTAATTCATTTAGCCATCAGATTTACAATAATCTTCATACTCCCAACGCGAAGCTCTTACAAACGGAAAGAACAGAATGCCAGATACTAACAATACACGAACTTTCTGTAGTAAAAGTTTTTCTCTAACTCATTTTTTTATTAGGTAGAGCAAAACTTATTTTGGTTGGCTGTCTCTAGGCAACAGCATAAAAAAAGTGTCACCAACTTGACACCTCCAGCAAACTGCACTAAATGAATAAGCCCGCAAATGCGCTGAAAAGCATGGATTGAAGTTGCAATACCTTCTTACATATCTAAGTATTATAACCCACCACTACCATTGTAACGTTTTCCGTAAACAATCGTCCTAATAGAGCTATTTGCAACGTTTTGCGTTAATGCTAGCCATGAACGTGCACGCAGCATTGCTTATTGTTACTGTTAGCATCTCGTTTACAACAGTAAGATATGCATGCTAATATGATTGTGGATTCTATTTGTTTACACTACTTTCCTCGATCTAAGTGATTCGTTGTACTGCGTGCTAAGGAGTGCATTGTTCTTGAAGGTACGGTTCATAATGGAGCGCAAATGCAGAGAGTGGATCATTCGTTTCCACGTTACCGCGAACCCATGGCTGAGTCAGCGCGCGCTTGGCTGTATGTTGCGTTCACCTCGGGAATGCGAATGGTGTGGTTCTGCGGTGGCTTGACGAACACCGGACTGTGGTCGTTGACGTCGGCTACGCAGACGCTGAACATCTGCACCGAGGAGCGCGGTGGCAGGCCCTGGTCCTGAGCCCGCAGCGCCACGGTTGCGTTGCCTACACGACCCCGAAGTGAGTAGCGCGTGGACACACGAGCCGTGTTGTCTGGCAGAGATTCCACCTCGAATAGATCTGTGCATGGCGAAAGTAGGGCAGTCATAATTGAGCGGAGCTCCGAAAAACGCAGCTGGTACTAATGTTAGACCACGCACGAAATGCAGGCCGGTGAAGAACTTTAATATATGATAAAAAAGAAAGAAGCTGGCTACAGAAAAAAAGGCGGAAAGAGCCACGTATCCTAAAATTGTTGTGTGAAATTGTTGTATACATTTGTTGTGTGATAGTGAACACTCTACCGCTTACACAACTCGCAAGGAACAGAGTAAAATCATAACACCTCTAGTTTCATATTTTCACAGATTCATTGCTACAAATATTCATTCTTTCCTTAATGAGAGAAGTAACTTTGCAAATTATGCTGCATTGCATAACGAACTATCAATGTTTGAAAGCAGCTTCACTTGAACCATCACTCATCGTATTGTATTATTCGGTTTATTGAAGTTATTCAATTTTTCTGTAACAGACATTACGTGTATTATGTCACTCTGAGAAATCATTGAAATACGCCTTTTTGAAATTCAGTCCTGTATCGTACTTACTTTACTTATTAATTGTATTTTGATTGTTTCAATACATGTATCTATTCTCAGAAATTTTGCTATCCTGATATAATACTTCAAAAAAAGAAAGGTCGCAGCATTGATAAATAAATAAATAAATAAATAAATAAATAAAGGCAGAATCGTTACCCACATCTATGAATGTTTCACATAACTCACTAGACCGTTATAGTTAACCGTTAGCGTGATGGCTGAGGTTAAAGGAATGGCGTTACTGTGCAGCAAACGTTCGTTGCGGACAGCATCTTATAGTGCAGCGGGATAGCTTTTACATAGTTTACGTTTCTCAGCTGAAATGCTGGTGCCATCTATCGGAGAGTTGATAAAATAAAGAAACAGTTAAAAGTAAATGAAAACGACAATGTTTGCCTGTTTCACCGCGCAAAGCATTGCTGCAAATTTGTTTTAGTTATTGATAATTAAAGTAAATCAATATGAACCAAGCACCAAACGCGAAAACATTTATGTTGCCAATTTGTTTACATCGATCTTCTAGTTAGACCTAGAGACGTTCTAAATGGGAAGCTATCTCAAAAATTACGCTAGCTTATCCGCAATAATCGGCCATTGAAGCTAACTGAAGGCAAGCGAAGCCATCTTAAACAGTCGTTTGCTGCGATCGAAGTGAATCTTTCATCAACTACGCTAAAATCATTTCGAAGCGGGCGTTCCTAAGCGCCACCATGTTTACGCACACCACGCTAACGTGGTAACGTTAAATCTGAAAAATAGCGCACGTACGATAAGCGGTACGAGTAACGTACGTATCTGCGCATGCGGACTTCGATCCCGCTATCTCAGTATATACGGTATACTATAACTGTCTACAGTTCTTGTAAATCAGGCTACTCCTCACTAACTGCATTACTGTGGAGAAGCCACGAAACCGTGCGTACATGAAGAATACATACATACATACATACATACATACATGACTACATACATATAACCTACATACATACATACATACATACATACATAATACATACATACATACATACATACATACATACTACATCACACTACACATACATACATACATACATACATACATACTACACTACATACATACATACATACATACATACATACAACATACATACATACATACATACATACATACATACATACATCCATTACATACATACATCATACATACATACATACATACACACACACATAATACAACATACTCATGCATGCATGCATGCATGCATGCATGCATACATACATACATACATACATACATACATACATATACATACATACATACATACATACATACATATACATACATACATACATACGAAAACGTCAATTTCTGCGCGGACGCACACACTACGCACGCACATGCAAAGGCAAAAGAATGCCTTGTTCTGTGTATTCTTTTTCTACGAAGTGTTTGCTGGCAAAACGAGCTACAGTGTCCCATTATGCGAATGGGGAGGCATTCCGCTGCCATACTTGACAAAGTGTTATGAGTGGTGCTGAAACCCAACATGAGTTCCTCTATCGCAATGTGCGCGGGTTAATTGTAACGAAACCATGGTTGCATTCACTCACCGGCTTCGTATCCGGCCTGAATGGTGAACACGATCCTGGCATTCGGCGTCGTTGGGTCGTCCGCGTCCATGGCTGAAGCCAAAAACACCGTCTCGTGGATGCGAATGAACTCGGTGACTTCGGCACAATGTGTCTGCCGCACGAACACCGGTACCTCGTCGTTCACGTCCAGCACGCGTATGCTAATCTGCAGCCAAAACACGAAACAATATAGAAAGAAGCTGTATTTCATCGGCACTCAGCAAAGGAAACGCTAATGAGAATAAAACATTTCTCGCTTTTCCAAGGCTGAGCCGATGGTTAAAAAGATGCTAAACGCAGTCATCACACATGTAAAGTATGCTAATTTTCTTTTCGTTGACATTGAATGACTGCTTACGTTATTAATACTTTACTAGCAGTACAAGTAACTGTACACAGACGAAACAAGAGAAATGTTTTTAAAGGCTGTTTTTTTTTCTTCTTAAACCCAACATTAATTGGAACTAACAGACAAGAAACTGCAAAGGAAAGTACAGTGGAACTAATTCTTGACAGGGACCGAGCCTGCGACCTTCGAATAACGTGTCCGAGGTTCTGCCAACTCAGCTATGGTGGCGGTCATCCCCCGTTCAATTTATTGGGTATATATGTACATTTGAACCTGAAAGTGTTAGTCAGCCCCACTAGTAAATATTATGGCGAACGTAGAACACACGTTTTCTGCCTGCTAGCGCCACGAAGAACGTGATCTTTTCAGGAGTTGGCAGCTAACCACTCTTTAAGTTACGCACTGACGATGAAAACCACAGAACAGTAGCTCATAGTGAAAAGTTCTGGTGGCTTAGTTCGAAATCTTGTGCGTTATTTGTTCTTAATGCCTCACTTAAAAATGTGTATTTGATCACCTTTCATTCGAAACTAAGTTCAAATAAAGTGAGGCAATTCACGTTAAGTAATAATTTTTTTTAGTGTTGTGCATGTTGATATCACGAATGTGTACGCCCCGATATGACGCAACTATAGAAAATACTTCGAATACATTACATCGGTCTGCACGCCTTTTGATTAGTGTTCCATATGTGGACTACATAGGATCGGCGTAATAAGAGTAATACGAGACCGGATAACGTAGATAATTCTAATTGACAATGCAGGCAACAGAATTACCAGTTTTTGAAAAGAATAAATGAGCTTTTAAGAGTAAGAAAGGTTATTCTTGCTTTACCTGTTTGAACGTCCTTCTGCTCTCATCTGTCCCGAATCCGGCTTCGTAGTTGTCCCATGCTTGAACTATCAACGAGTATGAAGACGTTTCTTCTCTGTCCAAAGGCATAGTAACCGTGATGACACCCTGTATGGTGAAAAGAGACAGAGCATGTATTAGAAAAAGGAGAATTCAGTTTTCCAGCAGTGATCATAAAACTTTACAATTGTTTGTTTGTCCTTATCACTTTCGTGGTGAACTATCCTATCCTGCGCGTTCTTAGGCGGACCAACAGAAGCCATCACATAATGAGCGGTAACAATGGAAGGTGTTTGGTAGCCTTATAATAACAACAAAACTTTATAACGGACAGCACTTTTGACAGAAATCTCCCAATTAAATATAAAGCTAAATTAGGACCCCTTTTTTTAGTTTTATCATTTTTTCAAATTGTGGTGAAGGTTATACTGACTGCATCTTCGTGAAACGACGTCATAATAAAAACCTTAATCATTGGCTTGATAAGACAAGAAATGAAGGGTTCTCCTCTGAATTGTCGTGACGTAAAAGGTGACAAGAAACGCGGCAGGTGATCGTCAAAAAGTTTTAAACTATCACACACTGATAGCAGCTAATCAAGAATAAGGGCGCGTATCAGCGTATTGGCATATGGAGGCGCCATCATAGTGGCACTACCAAACTCGAGCCAACAAACTCTGAATTAATGACAGGAGGTTGAAGAGGACATTGAATGACGAAGTGAAAGCCTCGCCCCTGCAAACGCATTCTGTGCGGGTTTTTCTTTATCCAATCACCTCTTTTTCTGCTGGCCGATCACCCACAGGAAGTGCCACATTAGTTCTTTTTACATGTTCTACTCGAAATGCCAACAAAGTGAGAACCTCCATTAAGTTGCGGCACACGTGCTGTGACGATCGAAAAGAAACACTCCAAGCACTCACCGTGTCTCTGTCGATCTTGAACTTTCCGTCGGTTCCGGCGGCGTCCAGGGCGTACGTGATGCGGCCGTAATCGCCGACGTCGGCGTCTACCGCGTGCACAGCCGCCACTGAGGCACCCAGAGGGGCGTCCTCAGAGACAGCGAACTCAGAGGGCCCAGGTCGGAAGATGGGATTGTTGTCGTTCTCATCGAGCACCTGTATCTGAAGCTCGGTGGCTCCAGACAAAGGGGGCACGCCTGAATCAGTCGCCTTGAGCGTCACGTTAATCCAGCTGTGAGCTTCACGGTCAATCTTGTCTGCTACAGTCACTTCACCTACGAAGATTTTAGCAAGAGAAGTGGTTATGATTTGAAGCAGCATGTCATATTTTTTTACGTGTCACTAATCACAATCTCATGTTGCTCAAAGGAAAGGTCGAGTGAGTTTATGCACCATCGTTGTGGTTCCTGCGAATAGGTGCCGCATCTTGTGTGAAGTCGCTTGGAGAGGTGCTTGAAAATACGTTAGAAAACGTTTAATCTTTTAGTAAAAAATACGCTATAAATACACCCCCTCCCCCACCTTGGTTGCTCATTTGCGGAACGTTGTACATCGCGCAAAAATGTAGGTTTTGTTGGTTACTAAATTGATGCGCGTTAAGCCTTTAATATGAACACCCAGTCACTTTCTCAACGTTTTCTATTTAAACCCTGCAAGTTCTATAATCTAATCAACAAGAAGTAATATCTCATCTTATCCGGTATATTACGACCATGAACGATTCAGTTACCTTGTTCATAACGATCGCGAAAATGTGTGCGAGCCTTAGTCACATATTGCGTAAGGTGACGAAACGAGCATAACAGATACCTGTTTTTCGGTCAATTCCTATCAGTGCAAGGTATTCCATCTTTCCTTCCAAGGAGTAATATATTGTCCTGTTCTTGTCCGCATCTATTGCTCTAGCAGTGACGATCGGTGCGCCAACCATTGAATTTTCAGTCACTGTTTGGCGGTAGAAAGATTTCTTGAAGCTCGGCCTATTGTCGTTGACGTCGACTACGTTGACAGTAAGGGTTGCTGCAATAGAAAAGACACAAGCAGTGAACACCTGCTTATCAACTTTATAAAACGCGGTCAATTTTGTAAAAAAACAAAAAAAAAGTCACAGCTTCGCTGCAAGGGCGAAGCAATTAATGTAATAGCAACAACTTTGAATGTAACACTGAGGACGGCTAGCAGATCGAAACTTGCAGCGCGCTGCTCACGCACAAATGACGCACGAAAACAACACATACATGACGAGAGCTAACTAACAACGTTTACAGCTCGACGCCCAACGCACTGTTTACACAAAAACGACGCACGAAACGGAACCACAGGTACAGACACGAGTGCGAACTAACGAGTGTCCCAGTTGTTACTTCGCTGTGTTTGAAAAGCGCGCTCTTTTGGCAAACGGGGCCTTCCCGGTGAGAGAAGTGACCTTTGTGGCCCAACCAATCTTTGTGGCCCAGTGAAAAGCCAAGTCACACAATTGCCCCACCGAAGTATAAGCGCGCGCACACAAGCACCTAATCCCCCCTCCCTCATCTGCAGGGCAAATTACGCGTGAGAGATAAGCGCACTATGGCGCATCGTGACGAGCTGGGTGCCGAGCGCGGGCGGCTTTTTTTTCTTTCTTGAGTTTTCGTATATATAGATACGTATACATATACGGTGCATGACGGCGGCGACGGCAAAAAACAGCCTAGACTGTGTACATTATTGCTATCACAATGATAAATAATAATGTGATACAGGTACCCCAGCGAACATGTATAATGAACTGAATCACTAAAGCACGGCTTTACAAGCTTTACAAACTGTTCCCATCTGCAGTTATATGGCACATGCTACATTTACTCTAACAGCGTTTCGCTTGTACCATAAATCAAAACATCATACTTCTGCTATTAGGAAAAGGAGGATGATTTTTTGGTCTCATGATTAAGGTCTCTTCATTAGAAAAGTCAGAACTACTTATTCGAGTGCCTAGGCAAGCAGATAAGGTCTAAATTAATTGGCTATATCAAAGAAAAAAGTGCAATGCTCTTAATCAATGCTTTTGAATTAAGGTAAAAATCTTCGTAAGAGACTGGCGTACAAGCCCAAACATTCTCCACTGATCGCATCAGTATTAAGCTCTGTGCGACTTCGGTTTGATTGATATGTGGAGTATAACGTCCCAAAACCACCATAAGATTATGAGAGATCCCTATGGGAGGCCTCCAGAAATTTCGACAATCTGGGGAACATTAACGTGCTCCCAAATCCGAGCACACAGGCCTACAGCACTTTCGCCTCCATCGAAAATCCAGCCACCGCAGCCGGGATTTGATCCCGCTACCTGCGGATCAGCAGCCGAGTACCTTAGCCACTAGACCATCGTGGCTGGACATACGGCTGCGGTTATTGCTACATATTTGTAGAGCAAAAGTAGCATTAACGCGTTCAACCTGATAAGTGATCTCATCTAGCACTCACCTGTCGCCGTTTGCCCAGGTGTTGCAGCAGCCATGTCCTCGACCTTGACGCACAACTTTATGGACTCCATGACTTCCCGGTCGATGTTCGACTTGACCATGACTTTCCCTTCGAGGTTGTTGATTTCAAAGCTCTGTTCGGCATCGAATTCGCTTACGAGGCCACCATCTTCGTTTCGTGCCTCACTGGCAGTTCCATGACATAGTGAGTACCTGAGCATAGGCCTATCGTCTTGGTCGGTTGCGCGAACTATGGCTACTGTATGGCCCGCGACACTGTTCTCCACCAGGTTCACGCTGCCGGGTTCGTCGAACCTGGGTGCCTTGTTGTTGACGTCGATGATGGAGATGTTGACGGTAATCATCGAGGACTTCTGCTGTTCCCCAAGCCCACCGTCAAGTGCCAAAATCTGTAGGCTGTACAGGATTGACTTTGGAAACGTTCTGTCCGGGTCCATGTTGGCACCGGGTGCCACGGAGATGACGCCTGTGAGGGCGTCGATCACAAACTTGTCTTGCGCACCATTCTGGATTCGGTAAACGACCTTGCTGTTGCTGGGTGAGTGATCGTGGTCCTCAGCGAGCACCCGGACCACGGCTGTGCCTTCCTGAATGTCCTCTGGAATTGCCTTAGATACAAAATCAGTGGGAAACTCGGGAGCGTGATCGTTGACGTCTTGTACGTAGATGACCACAGTGACATTGCTCGAGAGTGACGGCCTGCCCATGTCATAGGCGCGAACGAGAAGGTTAAACGTTCGGACATCACCCCTGGGTTGCGCGATCCTCTCGAAGTCTAGCGGCAACCTAGGCTTGATGCGGCCCTTGACCTCGTCGATGGTAAAGTTGTTGTCAGGGTCCCCGTGCACTATCTGGTAACGGACCTGGCTATTGGGGCCTCCAGCTTGGTCGGCGTCTACGGCCTGCGCAATGTTGAACAACCCATCAAGGTCAACAGTCTTTATTTAAAGACTTCTTTCACGGATGTAAGTTTCTTTCCCAAATAAACGCTACTATCTATTGATTGCGAAATGGTTTAAGATGACTGAAGCCTGCTGTCACTAATGAGTCGGCTCAGTATCAGATTCGCACTCCGACAGTGACGCGCAGGCTCTGTTCTGGGGAAATCAATTTTGGCTTGGTGTACAAATGCCCTTGCTGGGAAAGGCTAATTCGATCGATACGTTGCAGACCACAAATAGGCGAGTTTGCTGAAGTCACTTATTCACGCCTACCTCCCTATCTCTGCTCTGAAGGCGTCGTTACCTTGCAACCTTCGTTCCGAACATCCACGGCAAGGAAAAATTTGTGTTCCATTTGTTTTTGTAATGAAATCAGCCAGCTCTCTCATTTCACGAAGCGTGAAACAGCGCGAGAAACGAGGACTTGGATACACAAAACATGAGCGCAGCACAAACAAGATGCAGGGCAGTCAAGTCCTCCAGCGACGATCTGCCGCATGTTTTTTTTTACTTTTTATTTTGAAAGCAGCATATGCATGCAGAATTATTCCTGAGCACGCACATCAAATAGATTGGCGTATTGAGACAAACTAAATCATGCTTAGTGAATTTGCACTCTGCCTACACATCCAGCCTGCTAAAACCTAGTGACCAACTTTCTAAGAGAAAAAAAATAGATTGCTTTGATTTTTTGGATGAGCCCTGACTTACCGCATATATGACTCTTTTTAAAATAGACACAGGAATTCTGTCTGCAGATCATTCTGTTTTATTCGGAGAGACGTGAAACACTCCTTCCTCCAAAAGAAAAGGGAAGACATGCATAAAATATCCAACGACTCGTTTTTCTTTCTAAAATTCACTCCTGTGCAAACGTAACTGTCCATGCTATAATAATAATAATAATAATAATAATAATAATAATAATAATAATAATAATAATAATAATAATAATAATAATAATAATAATAATACCTTGAATGGGCCAACCAATTTCAGTGTATGTTCAATGTAATTGAAAGCGGACTACACTGCATAACGTTCCTTCACGGATATTGTATGAATCTAGGCACGCGAATCAGTACACGAGCTCTTTACAAATATCAGCAGTACGAGTTCTTCGTTGATACTACAGCAATGACACTTCACGCAAACATTAGTCATAAAAATTTATTTTTTTCAGCTTCGTATAGCTGATCTAAGAATAGACAATGAAGCAGTGTTTCCTAGAGCTGCCGTGTACCTGATTTTATTTTTACCACTTTTTGCATTTCCTTCATTAAATCTAAAACTCACCATGACAACGAGCGGAGTGCGAAAGTCCAGCGCGTTCTCGCGTATGCGGGCCTCGTAGGAAGGCAGCACAAAGGCCGGCGCGTTGTCGTTGATGTCCTCGAGCACCAGGTGAAGCTGGACGGTGTTGCGGTTGCCGCGACCGTTCTCGTCGCGTGCCTCCACTGTCAGGAAGTGTTCGGGTGCCGTCTCACGGTCCAGGCCGTGCGCCGACGTGGCCACGACCACCTTGCCCGTCTCGGGATCCAGCCGCAACCTGTGAACCGCACGAGAAAACCTCGTCCGCTCTTCTGCTCTCTGAACCATCGAAGGAACGGAGGTCATCGTGGTCGTCAAGTGCCACTCATAACAGCGGCCAACGAGCACTAGAGAACGCCCCGCCGATTTCACCTCCGAATAAGCTTTATGATATGAAATATGTTTAGAAGTGTTGCAGTCAGCACATAACCCGGAAAAAGCCAGTAAAAGCAGGCCCATATATATGGTGCAGAATTTCGTGCATTCCCAGCGTGTAGAGTATGAGGTCACTTGAAGTCAGCAAAAATACCCTGCACAGCAGAATGAATGGGCTCTTTCAATAGCCGTCGAGGGTGCAAATCAAACAGCCCATGTCCCAGCGTTGAATAAGATTCATTTCCGAGCTTTGGCTGAAACACTCACAAAGCACAGAACAACTTATACTATAAATGAATTTATTACTTTCACTTGCAATACCTACTGTTTGAGCTCCACGAACGAATTTTATATGTCCATTAGTAAAAGCTTTTGTTGGGATAGTTGGTACATGTTACAAAAAAATTAGATGACGTAAACCACAGGAAAAGAGTAGGTTAAACAAAAGAGTGTCAAGTCGCAACTAACTCCATTCTTTCCAATCCACCTCAATATATCTACCATGCCACACATGTGCAATAACACAGATACGTCAAATCTCACAATCAGGCACTCTCAATACACGTGCTAGTTCAGAAACCTGTAAAAAAACTATGCATTATCGACACTTCGGCCTTCAGTGGAACTTGATATTTTGATGATGAATTTCAGGGTCATATATTGCGGTGGTTTTGCAAGAATAAACTTACTTGCGAGCTGACGCTCTTTCTTTTCACCTATTTTTTCCCGGTGTTTTGGGTCATCCAATTTTTTCCTGTTATATGTCCATATTGAATCCCTCCCTGCTTTACGTAGATTCATGATTATGAATTGACAAATTGATAATTTGGATGTTATTGTTTGCAAAGAGACGAAATGCGGCCGTTATAGAGTCGACTTAGCCAGAGTAAAATAACGAAGTGGTCTTTCTATAAGTCCCTTCCCCAATGTTTCACTCAGTCGAGTTGTTTATAGCATCAATTTATGTTTGGAGCCACCACCAGGGGGACGCCATCAACATAACATTCGCTTATATAACCAATTCGTAGCACTGTACTTGATGTGTCCGGAAGTGTCACAAGAAAACGGCGTGACGTTGGGACGACTCTGGAAGGGGTATTAGTGATATCGATGGGCAGCATGGTTAGCATGTTTGAGATACGTGGTTTAGTGAATGAGAAGAAGTTGCCCCTACTTCTCATCAAATTATCGGTGTCACACTACGATCAGAATGACCCCGCTGCTCGTTCCGGCAAGCAACCGCGAATCTCGTTGTGGCCCTCTTTTACGACGGAAGTCCCCCAATGTAGTAACAATGCACTTGCTTACTTGTCCGCTATTTGACCTCGGATACTGGTGTAGCGGATTCCAGAGGTGCCGTAAATTTCAGAGTCCGCGTCTTCAGCCTGCAAGAGAGTTGGGACTTGAATGAAGCACGCGCCTCGCGTACGTTTACTCAGAAAGACGGCAGTGCTCGAAGCGCATGAAAGAAAAACGGTTCGCAACAAGTCACCGCTAGACAAGTTGTCAAAATATGGCAAGCAAGAAGTATTACAGAACCACTCATATTTATGGCGATGTTCTGTTTGCCTTATATGGCTGCCCTCGTACCAGCCACGAGCGGGTGTGTGATCACGATCAATTTTCGTGACTGAATATCTGCTGGCCTTAATAGTCCAGATGAAATCTCAGAATAATATACGAGCCACGTTAGAATTATCCATAAGCGTCATGTAATTGAGAATGTTCACAAAAAGAGGCGAAATACAAGAAATGGTACGTTCCCCTTGAAGGTTGCGTACGTGCACAAGCGAGCTATTGTAGGCCCCTTATAGGGAAGGAGTGCGACCATCCAGTTTCATAGTATAATTCAAATACGCGTGCTTTTTCGTCAGTATATGCGTCTTAGTGGATTCAACAAAAAGTCGTTGCGCGCGCGCGAACTGCGAAGACACGCGTCAAACTTCTTAATATGCATGCACAATATCGCTTTCTCGCGACGCAGCATGCTCACCCTGACAACGGTGACCACAGTTCCAGCTGCCGCGTTTTCGGGGATGGTCGCCCGGTAGAGGTCCTCGCGGAACACCGGGAAGTTGTCGTTGGCGTCCTTTATGTGCACCGTCACGTCAGCCGTCGATGTCTTGGGCTGGTTGGACACCATCTCCCTCGCCACGATCTGCATGCCGAGCCGCAATGAATGCAGGTCTCAGCGACCCGCCAACTTTCGCGTGTGTGTGCTCTGTTAGCTTTATAGTTAGACTTAGTATATCTGCTTCAAAATATGTTACACAAGTGCGCAAAACGCACAGCTCGTAAATGTTTGCAATGCAAAGTGCATGCGTCGTGGGTGTTGCATGTTCGAACCCTAAGCCTGAGCTCCAGGAGCCTTCAGTCGAATCTCAGCTCTATCAACATTTTTATATGCACAAATGATATTTGTAATAATCAATTAAGAGCCAAAAGCACGATACAATTATGAGGCACGCCAGTAATATTTTTGTAGTTTTCTGCACAAGCTACTAAAGATTGAACTATTAGTTCTTGTGGATCTTGGTCAGAAAAAAAAAGTTAACACAGGATACTATATTATTCGCAGATGGTATGTGTGAGAAATCAGAAAGCGTTACTTCCTGGTTACAGCACACTGGTTCCGCGTAAAATGCACTGACCTTACTAACCTTGATGATAATATATGCTATTTCTTGGTGCAAGGGCCATGTGATGGCCAAAGAACGACAGTACATAAGACAAATGATGTGGGCAAGGAGTATGTTGACTGGCTGTATGGGGGCCTGAAATTCCTCGCGCTAAAGGCGGGTAAAACAAGGGTATTAAAATTATGAGAGTAATACGACATGTTTATTGGGAACATGAGCGGCTGACGGTTGTAATAAAAAAGTCATGAAGAGATCACAGATAGTTAATGTCTCTGCAACGTCCTAGTTTCCAAGGGCCACGAGACAGGAGCTTGACGTTACTAATCGTTCGCCCCGTGGTAATCTTTGCCCTCCCAATTACGCAGACTTGAGCGACTTCATGCCGTCGAATCGCCCCAATATATCGTTCAAGTTTTATGAACAAGCAGAATTCAGAAACATTAATATTTGCTTATATCACTAATCACCGGTGGTGCAGCAGTATATACCAAAGAAATAATAATTTAGGAAAGTATATTCAATTCAATTAATGTATCGCAAGCTAACTTCCCTTCCGTATATGAGCTTGGCACAGAACATCATTTCATGTTACTGTGATTGCGAAACGCATCCACCCTTTCGACGTGCGTACCTTGAAGTTCATAACCTTGACTCGTTCGTAATCCAAGTAATCAGGGTTTTTAACGCGGATCATGAAGGAAGCCTCGTTGACGCCGATGGCTGGCGTGACGTCAAAGACGCCGTTGTCTTCTTGGAGGAACAGTTGGAAAGTGCCGTTGCTGCCCTGCAAAAGTGAAAAGCGCGTAAATTTTTATAGCTTTGATGGTACAAAACGTCCTGCCGCAAACTGCTGCGATAACAAGAACAAGCATAACTTTTGGTCAAACACGCAGTATGGCAGTATATTCGGGGCCCAACAAGGCCATTTTAATTTCGGGATTTGCCTGCGGAGCTATGGAGGTGCACGAATGCCACCAAGGAGCCGTCTGAGAAATGTGTTCATTTAAATTTTGTGTTTTCATTCGGCCACTGAGCAGGATTTCCAATACTGCATGTCTCTGCTATTTCTCGTAAAAAATAAAAAATGATTAAATAGGTAAACATAAACAGGCTGTCTCAAAAACGTCCTTGTGCTTTGAATTGTCATAGCGCAACTTTACAAATACTGATAAAAAATGCACTGCCTTGCGACAGCTCTCAGCCGGCGGCAGTGTAACTGCCTTCACATTTGTTTCTCTAGATTGCCAAAAAGAAGTGCTTGAGTTTTTTTTTACTTTTGCTTTCACTTACGCCCCAACCATTGAGACGTAGGTGAAATAAAAAAAGCACCAAATAGCACTTTTTATGTCTGGTTTCTTACCACGTTGCAACCTCAAGTCCGTCTTGCCACACCGTATTGTTGCAACATCCAATTTCCGTGGTGCTGCCTACGATATGTAGCACCAATAGTAGTGCCCTAACTTTCCCAAGGGCTCGCGGAAGCGAGCGCAGGCGAGGCTCTATGCTCACCTGATCGTGATCGAACACCTCGGGCACGCTCTCTCCGACAAAGTTGACGGGCACGTTGATCTGAGCGTTCTCATTGATCTCGGCGATGTAGCGTCGGCTGCGGAACGCCGGCTCCTCGTCGTTCACGTCCGTCAGCAACACTGTCACCTCGGTGCGCGTGCTCGGCGCCGGCGTCACCTTTCCGGACACTTCCTGCGCCTGTGGTAGAACGCCATGGCCCACGTCGTAAGATGGAATGGAACTCTCATCACATTCAAAAACTCCATAAGTGTCGATGCCACCTCCCGCGATGGTAACAATCAAGGTGAATGCAAACTCCAGTACTGGGCTCAATTTTCTGACTTAAGTGTATTTAATGTTAACGATCTACAGTGGTCGTACCCCTATTTCTATATCATGATCATGCACTAAGTATATTTCATTCTTTTTTACCATTCCCTAGCACGGAATGGTAAGTAAGCGTGCGTAAACTCAGATATCGCTCTCTCTGCTTTTCCACAAATAGATTTCTTACTGTAATGCGTCGTCGTAGGCAAGAACTGTGCGTACTGTGCGCTACTCAGATCTGAAAAACTGTTATTGCTGCGTGATTGCAAAATAAGCAAAAAATAAAAGAAAGAAAGAAATATGATGAAAGTTGGCATGGCTCACAATAATGCTTTCGACAACACACTAAACCATTCGTTCTTTCCTACTCACATTCACCAGGTGGCAAAAGGAAATGTTGGGTGAAGCATAGGGGCATTGACTATTCGCTCCTTACGAAACATTGCTGAACCGACTGTAACTGTCTTTGACAAGTTCCTTTAACGTTACGAAAGGTATGTCGAGGCAGTGCGATGAGAAGGTGGAAATTTTGAAGGAAGGCACACCTGAACAAGTAGAATGAAGGCTCCGTTCCGATTTTCAGTCGCCTCTCTGTCGAGGCGCCCTTTCACTGACACGACGCCCGTTTCACGGTCGATAGCAAACAGATCGTTGCCACCTAATGGTAATAGACATAAAAAAAAAGAAACGTCAGCAAGCAGTCTTTTGGCGTACATTTTCTTTAAAACACCATATGAGATGTATTTTAAAAGCCGTTATAATGCTTAGAGCGTTTCGATATCAGAACACCGCTGTAGTAGATATATAGCGAATAATAAAAACGTTAATCTTTCTATTGAAACGCATTTTCTAGTTTCTCCCTAATTAACAGCCGCAGCAAGCAGTAACCAGCAATGACAGTATACCAAACTTCCACAAGGCAAAATTTCTCTTTATTAAGGACGTTGGTACTGACCCGAAACGATGCTGTAATGAATGGCGTTGTTCACACCACGGTCACCATCCATCGCCTTCACCGTGAGCACGACAGAGTTCTTTAGGAGGGAAAAAAAAACAGCAATCAAAGCTCGTAAACGTTCAAGCGCATAAATGAGCTGTGGCAAAGCAGCGTAACTATATCGTGCACAGATAACTATACAATACCGTTATCACAAAACAGTCGACATGATGTGTGACTAGATTCTAGAAGGTATATGCTATATAAATGAGAAATCATGGTACAGAACACATCGATGGCGGTGCAGTAAGTGATGTTAAGTGCGAATACTTGGCGCGCTACGAATAGTACAGGGCGTGTAGCCAAAAAACTAGTTGTTATTTTTGTAGTTGTTGTTTTTTCAGCGGGTGTGTATGCTTTACAGAAAGAATGTTTTCCAGCTCGCATTAAACGAAATATTGGGTTAATAGTTAACACTGAAACATACTGCGAGAAAGAAATGACCAAACGACTAAATCCGTATCCTTGTGCGCTGTTAACCATGAACGAAATTCGACTCGCCAAATTTTCTATTCAATAAAAAGGCCAGACTCCAGGCCGAAACGTCGAAATAAACCGCGTTGTGACCGCTCACGGAGGATCTACTGGCCTGCATATATATATATATATATATATATATATATATATATATATATATATATATATATATATATATATATACACAACATGCCGCTACCTCTACCGTAACATTGCATAAATTCCTGTCTCGACAAGGTTTTTCTAATCCGCAAGACTTCGCATTCTATGACAAACTATTGCTGTTTCAGCCAGCGCACTAGTGCATCTAATTAGGTATTAATCCACGCACTACTTACCAATGGAAGGTCTTCAGATATCCTGGTCACCGGAGGCACCTGTGTGAAGATGGGAGGTTGGTCCTCCACATCGTCCACTTTGACAAGCACCACGGCTGTGGCCGTGTGCCGCGGACCCGTGTTGGCACGATCCTGAAACAAAGGCACACATGTAGCTTATCAAAACACGTTGCAGGAATATGAAACAACAAAAACATGTTGTTTCACTTTTTATCCTACTGGCTACGACGCAATCTAAGGCGAACAGTCCGGAATTGAACCCGTCACCTTGGCTTGATGCCTCAGCTTGTCGACCTAGCGCATATGTGAACAGGCATTTGGCGTATTGTGTGGCAAGTGCATAGGGTGGCGTGTATTCATAATGTGCCGTATTTGAGTGCGTCACTGGAAAGTAGTAGGACCAGGAATTTCTCATGTCCATGAACAATCCCTTGCTTTCCTGTCGGGTGAAGCCTATTACTCTTCTAGCCGATAAGGTGCAAAAGTCACCAGCTAAAGGAAAGTTGCAGCACAGTATAATTAGGATCATGATTATCGTTATACAGTACTCAAAGCCTACATTCGCGCGGCATCGTATTCACCAAAGAAACTTTCTTTTTTTGCTTCAAGAAAAACAAGTCCTGTTAGACTGTATCCGACTGAAAGACTAGTTTTAATATCATTTTGGGGGTTTGTCTGTCTCCTTCAGGTATTAAGTGTTTTATGGAGATGGAAAGTCTGCTTCAGACAAATCGTTACGCCTCGGATACCAGCGCGCGAAAATACGTTGAAAAGCAGCATATGCGGTCCGAAGGAAAGGCTTTCCATTGCAGCGGCTGCATTTTCGAATGAGGGCAAATTGCTGCAGGCCCGTATGCTCACATTTGGGTGCACGTTAAAAAATTCCAGGTGGTCAAAATTTCCGGAACCCTCCACTGCGGCACTTCTCATAATCAAATGCTGGTTTTGGGATGTTAAACCCCACATATCAATCATCAATAAAAGGTTTTCCATTCGGCAAAGTGCGAAAGTAAACCCGAAATGTGCAATAGTCGTTGCATGCTATACGACTTCCCGAGTGATTAGACGAATAAAACGGTCGTAGCATACGCTCTTGCTTCCGTCTCTACCAATCAAAACTACATCGCAAAATATATTCAGTATAATTTTATTGCAGCACGAATTCTTTCAAACTTGGTCAATGCGATGGTCGCACGGCGGCAATTCAATATTGCCCCGTTGAAGCGACTAATTGCGTCTAATTGCGTCTAATTAAGTGCATTTAGAAATAGCCTAGGCTATCGATGTTTTCCTGTGTATAATGTAGTATTCACAATTACTGGCATCTTTGACCTTTCACGTAATGTACCGTACGAAGGCTTATTGGTCAGTCTTCTTCACTAAAAAACTTTACGCACTACGCAACGCGTGTGGTAGAGTGCATATTCCTTCATCTATCGTCCTGGTTGGCTGTGGTAGCACTGGCTAACCCTTACCGGGTTATTTATAGAACACGTACCTACCCAAGAAAGTATACAGGAAAACGAGGTGATGGTATAGCTGAACCTCAACAGCAGCACACGCGAAATGCGAGCACACGGATTCGCATATACATCCCACCTGCAACCGGTAGATTTTTTTCGTCCTCTTTCACTAACATAAGAAGGTAAAGAGGAAAGATCATGAAGTAGCAGTGGCTGCATACTGACATTTCCCATATTCAAGTACATCATTCTCTCATAACTCATTTTTATACTCATTGTGCATCTGACATGTCAGTCAAATAGTAATAATATACATATGCTATTTTTGCTGTATACTGTGCAGTTTTTTTTATACCACTCACTGTATACAGCCGCATGACACCGACTATTCTACCATTCACTATTACGTTAGAAATGCGAGATCATATATTCAGCTGTCTTCGGGCAGAACTGAACCAACCGCTATTATATCGCACGTGCATATAATAAATAAAGAAATATCCCTAAATGAAATTACCCCTATTATCAAGGTTTTTCGGACTGCACGTGATACACATGAGAATGACGCTAAGTTATCCAAAAAGAGATGCACTCAAAGAACAAAATGGCTGCCTGTGGCGACGGCGAATAAAAACTGTAACCAGGGATATTCTTACAATGGCGAGGACACGCAGTTCGTAGATAAACTTGCGTTCGTAGTCGAGTGGTCCGGTAAGTGAGATGATGCCTTTTCCTTTATCCTGGTGCACGGAGAATGTGGACGTCGTTTCCGGGTCCGTGTTCTAAAGAGAATCGTGGAAGTCATAACAGTGCCCAAGTGAGGACAAGGAAAATTTGTTATCAGAACTTCTCTGCCGCATGCAAAGCTTTCTGGAAGTTCCTTTCCCATACAACGCACCTTAAGTGAACTTGAATTTTATAGTTTTGCTTGTGGAGTACTCCGGGTAACTTACATGTTTTCAGAGAGCTACCCAATTTTTCAGCAAATAATTCCGGAGATTTCTTCCCAGAACAAAATATCTTGGAAAGAGCCAAGAAATGTACTCACTTGTAATTGATAAATAACTTGGCCGAAAGGCCCCTGGTCACGGTCAATGGCTTCAACTGTATCAATGACGTGTGGTGAGGCATCCTGTGAAATCACAATCGTAGCGTTCAACTTACTTGAGTGACCACAGGTTGAATTCGAGCAGATTATTTCGAAATGAATCATGTCTTACTTCCATTCCTATACGCAGTGCGAAATAATGGCATACATCGTATTTCAAAAGAAATGATGTTGCTGACTAACCCTAATTAGACACGGGTAATTGCACATGATATCTTCTTTTTTTCTACGACGATTATGCCATTTTTAAGTAGTGCTTAGAATTGCGCTAGTCCCAGCGGACATTTTTCTGAGCAAGACATGCTTGATGTTTTAGCGCACAGTACCAACTAGTACGCCAGTCGATTTTATTCAGCACAGATTGTTTGGCTAGTTGGTCTTGCGCTATAACAAAGTCGAGTTAGTGGTAGTGAAAAATGACTCTAGTGAATACGGACACAAAAGGCGGGACCAACGATGGCAGCACTTTCTGAGCGCTTGCACACGTCTACACACACTTCCACGACCACGTAGACGCAATTGTAGGGCACACTATAGAACATGCCGAACAAGTTCTCGCGGAGTCTGCTGCGCATATAGCTTGCACGTCGATGAACAACAGAATGAATGTCAGGCTACGGTAAACGCATTTCATGACGAACGAAACTTACCTCTGGAACCGTGATGGTGCTTCTGTACTGCTTGAATACTGGCTCGTTGTCATTGACGTCATCGACGATTATTAACATTGTCTGTGTAATCTGTGGAAGGAAAAATTGATTAATTGAGAATTTTTTCTGTCCTTGCTGTTGCTACATCAGGAACGCACGGGCGCAACCCGTTGACGACAAGCTATGACGTGAAAAAGTAGCGCTGTGTAATGCAAAGGCCATTACGGGATTGGTTTTCTGAGAAAAGCGGTTCACGCAATTCATTCTAGTATGGTGTCGTTCTATCTTTTCTTTTATTTCCGCCTTTTATGTTCCTGCCCCAATGTCGGCATATCACTCCTTCAATACGTGCTGCATCGTCTTCTGCCAGCACGCTAAAAGCCGTTTGTCTTTGACATTGCGCGCAAGTACCGTACAGACCTGTTTGGCGTTACTTATCGCCGTAACTTAAAGCGTCAAGCAAAAACAACCGTGGCAGCTGTAGGAAAGAGCTACAATGTGGGGCAGGGCAAACCCGAAACGAACAGCCTTCAGAGCAAACATCGTGGATGCGCCGCTTCGGCTCCTCCGAGGCGAGCCAGTTTCGTGACAGTGCGTGGCCAAACAGCGGCGACCGCCGGTGAAACTGGTTCCCCGTTGCTGCGCGAGGGGCAGTCGGTCCACCGGCTTTAATGCATCACCTAAACGAACGCGTTCGGGGTTGCACTCGAAGACCCTTGCACGGAGTGTCTGACGTATATATGCACGCGCACGTTTGTTGTGGTAACGAGGCAGCATTTGCATGGCCACTTTACGACGAGGCGGTGGCTACGTTGCCGCTGCACATGGGCAGAAAGCATGAGGTATACTTGCACCAACGGCGATGGCAAAACAATGAAGCGACGAAAGAAATGATAAAAGGTGGTGGTCTCGGGACTTACATATTGGCCTTCGGGCAGACGCCCATCTGTGAGAGTGAGGACTATGGTGTGCGAGTCCTTCACCTGCAAAACAAGGAAACAATAATGAACCTCTGTGTCGGTGTAGGCGAGTGAAATGGAAGCTCGGACTTTGTCACGTATGTGCGCGTCGCCCATGTCCACGATAAGTTTGATTAGGAGTCGAGTGCAAGCAGTCGGGATTCTTGTACAGTGAAATCCACACGTGAGCTCTCACTCGCTTCAGTGTCCGCTAAACGAGCCTCCCGGTGATTTACGAGCATCGATTCATTTCTGCATAATCGCCCATGCGCCGGACGCGAGCGAGTGTTACGTTTACGTTGCAAGAGGAACAACGTAGAAGAGTGGCGCCCCGCATAATACTTCGATAAGGTTCTCCGCGCAGAGTCGGTCACGTAGGCTTACAATCGACTCGACCATCTGTTTATGTCCTCTTCCGTGGCGTGACCCGTTTGGTTGGCGCAGCTCAAGTTTCCCTCCTACACGGGATCTGGTCACGCGTTTCCGAACGCCGAAGCCGACTCATGACAAGCGCCAGTATCCGCGCACATTGTGAAGATGTGTCTGCATAAGTGATAAGTCCTATTGCGGTTTATCTTATTCCGAATGCTGTGAAGCAAGTTGTGCTTCTGAATTTCGAGACTCGATTTCTCTTGCTTCCGGCAAATAGACGGGGTCATTGACCGCCTGTGCTCTGCAGAAGGCTTCTTTTTCTTCGTTTCATTTGGCGTAATAGACCCTATTCAACAAGTGCAAAGCTAGTTTTCCCGTGATGCAGTCAGCTCAACCTATGGTGGCTAGTTACTTACTAGAAGCAGGGTGTTTAAACGCATTTTGATTGCACTACGACGCCGAAAATGTAGATGCAGCTCTCTTTACATAAACACGCGTATTAGACCAGTCCCAGAATATATATGCAACAAGGATCTCGTCTCTATTTGAACGACGACAAGTGCCGCCATTAGTTGAGTGAATACGCAAGTTTCGGGGAAGTGCACTTGCGGATTATTGAAAGGGTCTATTAACATGAACGTACGCGTCATAAAAAAACATTACAGCACCTCATTGCACTGTAAGCTGTGAGATTAGTATCCCGCTTTGTGCGTAAATTGATCTTCTGAAGTGAGCGGTGGCATTGTACGTGTCTATGCTTTACTAGCTATGCTTTACTTGTCAATTTCGACATTTTCGTTTCCGGGAGACATGTTCCAAGCTTTCGTAATCAAATGCTTCGTTTGCCACGTTCAACACATCTTCTCCGCAAACAAGTGCGCCTTCGTTTCCCGTTTGCTATCCGTGCGTCATTTTCTCAATGCAGATGCGCATTCTCCTCGCAGCAGCCGATACAGTTTGACGCTTCATTGCAACTTCGAATGTGCCAAGTCTATCTCACCACGTTTATCGCTTATTTTCAGTGTTGCGTTCCATTTGCAACACGGTCAACGTGTACTGAGCCTCTAGATTTTATGCAAACCTCGGGCCTTCGTACCTACAAAATGTTACTGCTGATTTGTAAACACGACCAACAAAAGCATGGCAAAACGCGAGGAACGTAAGTTGATCCGTGGCGTGCGGGCCATTCGATTATCACGCGGAAATCTCGTTGCGTGATGCCGAAAGGTCAGCCGATAACTGCGGTGAACGTGTTGAGATCACCGCCCCAGATCTGTGGCCATTGAGCCATCTATCTGAAACGGCCGCGGTACCACTTCCCGCCCGGAAAGGACGGAATGTACCGCGCGCACGCTGATCGTGACAGCGGGTGGTGCTCCCTGCGGTGACATGGACCAGATCTCAGTCCCAAGGGGTCATGTCTCTGTATAGGTGAGCGTATCGGTTTAGTTGCACAGAGCGGGCGCGACTTCTGCTGTCCTATAAACGCCATGAAGTCGGCTAGCCAAAGGAACATGGCTCCGCCAATCATTTTGTCCTCAGCGCAACCTATTGCGTACTTCACCACTGTGGCGTTGAAAAAATATATAACGCATAAATAAACACAGAATCACCGTGCTCAGGAGGAGTTGGGTGTGAGGTTCAACCCCCCACCCTCTATCGTCGTAATTTGTAAGTTTATGTAAGCACGTTCACATACAAACACACACACGTACTCGTACATCAACGTTGGTTGAGCACTCCCGCCCATCACCATACCACCAAAAAAAGAAAAACAATAAGGTACGCCTCTGAAATTTTAGAAATTTATCTATCGCTTTCTATCGCTTTAAGTTGAGCCCAGTGCTTGGCCTACGAAGGTATACTTGATGATCCAATGGGACCTTGACAATGACAGAGTGTACCGCTGAATCTCACGCTTAGAGCTCTCTCCATACACTTTTTATAAGCCCTTTCGAGCTTCAGCAGATTGCTATCCGTCTTCGCTGCAAGAGGCTGCTCCATTACCTTCACTTGCCTCAGCAAAGGTGCATCACGAGCAAGTGTGCGTGTACAAGATGGCGGAACATGCGCGCGATCTTGAGGGAAGATAAGAAAGAGGCGTGTACGATGTTCGGCGTAAGTCTAAGTATGTTCTTAGACAGTTGATATGACTGACGTCGTTTCACGCGGCATTTCTACAGCACAGCCTGTCGGGTCCCCGCCTCTGTTCGCCTCGTGTGACGCAATGATAACCTCACACGAAAATAGTAAGGGGTTGTTAACAAGTTTGCCTCCCACAGGAGCTTTGTAATTCGAACATCATTGTAATTGGAATTCATCTTAATATCACGCAGGTGCCAAAAAAAGTCAGTATATATAGCTTTCATGAAAAAAAAAGAAAGTTTCGGAACTGAATACACTGAAAAAAAAAAGGGGGGCATGCAAATACGGACGCAAGAAAGAAAACAGGACAGCACAAGCGCAGAAGTTCGTGGTGTCTTGCCTTCTCTCTTCTTTACGTGTTAGCACGCCCAGTCCTACGTGTTAACGGGCTCAGCTATCTGTCGTAAGCAGAAAAAAATTCGTCCGGGTCAGGCTATCGAAACCGTGACCAATGTCTTTCCACGTTGCACATCCTCGAATAATACGAGCGAGCTATTAGGAACTAGCTGTTCCCATTGGCGAGGACTGACTAAATGACAATGCTAGGCGCGAAAGCAGTAGAAGTTCGGGAAACTTCAGAAAACCATTTAACAATATTTTCTCCACTGTGCTGTTTTTTATGCAGAACTCACCCGCCAAGAGCCCTTTTTAAAGCCCCGCGCACTTGAACGGCGCGAAACTTAATTCTGGTTTGCGTAAGTTTTGGGGCACCTCTGTATAGTAAAAAGTCAGTGTCACCACGTATCCGCGAGTCACCAGTATGCGTGCGTGGAATCGGCGCGCTCACCTCTCTGTCCAACTCGTGTCGCAGGAAGACGTCGGCCTCGGTGGCGGTGACCCGCTCGAAGCGCAGGATTTCGGGTCCCTCGGGACCCCGCGCCCCGAACGTGAGCGTGTCGCCGTCCGCATCTTCGCCCCGAAGCCGGTACAGCGGCTGGCCTGCACGACAAGCGTAAGAGTTACGCCACTGCCACCAACAGAGGGGAGCTAAGATTGCCCACGGATAAAGCGGTACATTACGTGCGGCACGTCAGAGCCGTAAAGAAAGAAACATTTCTTTCCTCCGTTTCAGAGGCCATGAGAGACCACACAGGGCAAGAAAAAGACGGCTCGAACGCCATGGCTCCATTTTACAGTTTCCTAAGTGTTTTTTTTTCTCTCCATCTCCTTCCATACCAAGCGTGTCGAACAAGTAACTGCGTCTTGTTGGCCCTTTTGTGCTCTAATGCAGCTCAGATGTCAAAAGGGAAAACCTGGAGGACGAAAAGTGTTTTATGCCACCCTAGTACTTGAGAGGGCAATGCCCTCTTATATCAAGTGCATGTGGCAACTTTCCGTTTTCGTAACTACGAGCAACGTCTTAAGCTCGCAGGACTCGGAAATAACGGTGAAGGGAGCTCTATTTAGCTGCAACGTTTTGGCCAACGTTTCGGTACGCATTGCAGCAGCTTGGCGCGGCAGTGCATGTCATGGAGATTTCTGGTCACATATGGCAAGCACGCGTTACGTTTACATTAACCGCTTGGCTCTGGTAAGAGACGAGTCTCATGACTTACCTAAGCTGCCCGGTCCTTCTTTGATCCTGACTACGATCTCGCTGATGCCACCCAAGGAGAACCTTGGAAATGTGTTGCTCCCTCCTGAAACAAAAACAAAAAGACAGACGAATGACAATGCGCCAGGTTAATGCAGTTTTTACGGGTCAATTTATAACATTTAGGGCAAATCGAACAGCATTTCAAATAATTTGAGTTGCATCGTTTCTCCTGCTGCTGCAAGCTAATCATGCTTTTAGTCTCATTTGCAGTCGCTTACGAAGAACTTGGCGCTTATTGCATCCAAAGCGCTGCGGCGTTCCGCTGCTGAGCATGAAATGTCGTGAGTTCCCGGTAGCCTTAGTTGCGAAATTAATAGAAAAATTATCGTTTGTTTAGGTTACGAAAAGAAAGTTGCACGAAAAGCTGTGTGTGCCGAGGCGAAATGAATGTTCAAACGCAGGTAATCTCTTGCGCAGATGTGCCGCAGTAAAACACAAGCCACCCTCCTCTCTTCCACTAAAAATGAATAAACGTGCACTGGCAGAAACGCACGTGCCGTGAAAATCAGTCACATGCCACCACTCACCCATGGTTCACTATAATAATAATATTATAATATCTGCATTTTTATGTTCTAAAACAGCGATATGATTATGGGAGACGCCGTAGTAGAGGACTCTCCGGAAATTTCGATCATCGGGTGTTCTTCAACGTGCATTGAGGTCGCGCAGCACACGGACCTCTATAGCCTTTTGCCTCCGTCGGAATTCGACCACCGCGGGTGGCGCATCAAACCCGCAACCATTGGATCAGCAGCCAAGTTCCGTAACTGCATGCTACAGCACCGCGACACACCCACTGGTTCACGTAAGCGTCGCTTAGTGGAGAAGGCGGCAAAAATACACATGCTGCTCAAATGGCTCCTCCAAATCGTGCGCGAAACGACAACGCACTCTCTGCACCTTTCATTGGAAACTGGTGTCATCTCTGTGCCGTGGTCGACATAGCCTTGCTGCTTATTTACCTTCCCGAGAGGGGAAGCACTCCGTGATAAACCTACCGGCGTTTATGCCTACAGTCATAAACACCGGTGCCACCCCTTTTGGCTTCGCTGCTCAAGCATCTCGCGCAGAGTGTAAGGAAGGGTGGCGGTGTTTTAAGTTGGAAACTTTGTGTTTGTTTTGACACGTATAACAGCCGCATTAGATACTTCTTTCGTCGCTCAGCAAACACTGACCGGTCACCTAAGGTGTTCGTTTTCTCGAAAAAGGTGGCGTGTCGGACAGGTCCCTCAGTGGACTCCAAGATACGGGAAGAGCCGTCCGCTGCCACAAACAATTTAGATTCTGAATATAACACCGCAGCAAGCTCTTCTTCTTCTTCCTTTTCGTCTTATTATTATTATTATTATTATTATTATTATTATTATTATTATTATTATTATTATTATTATTATTATTATTATTATTTTCTAGACCAAGAGATAAACAAGGCGAGCCTCAGCCACTGGAAGCGAAACAAAGAATGTCTACGCTTCAGAAGTGAGCTAAAGCTAGAAGTCACGGCAGGAATAAAAAATAAACAAAATGACGTATCATGATGAACACAGAAATACGATGAAACTTGCTGAAGCACGACAGCGTAGAAAGGGAACGACGTCTTCCTTCCCATATGCTTTCACCTCCATTCATAACAGCGGGAGAGAATTATTTCTTCTGTCCGGGCCGATAGGAGACAGTTATGGTAGTCGCAGTGTTTCCTCGTTTCCGTTCAAGCAAGAATAATGCCGAATCACGAAGGATAGCGTTAAAAGCAAGAAAAAAAGCATCACAAGAAACAAAAACGAACGCAAAACTATATAATTAGGTCAGAAATCTATTAGAGTAGAGCCAGGAAAGTTTACTTTGTAATAAAAACTGTTTACAACGAGCGTATAATTTAGCCGTACTTTAAAATTTTAGGCCTCAAAGCTAAAACTCTACAAAATTACAGGCTCTATATTTTTGCGAAACTCATTATGTCACTGACTGCGTGTGACGCCTCATTTGCGCGGATAATGTCCCGCGCGCGCTCACGTTTGCGTGCATTTAGGATCTAGTATCAGTTTTGTGTAGCGCGCTGCAGGCCCACTAAGCAAATAGAAAAAACAGGGCGCTAAACGTTATGGAACATCACGCAGTCTTTCTTCGCGTCTCACGCCGTATACATCTCGACGACAAACGCATCACACGGCTTTAGGGAACGCTAGCAAGTGAAATCATTGCAGCTTTTGCTTTGCCTCAAAGCAAGGTCTCGCCACGAGGAGGATGCGGTGAAAGCTGGAGTGTCGAGAGCCGCCTCGCCAGTCCTCGGGCGCAGCGACCCACGTACGTGCACCCCGCAACGAAACGTTTGCAGGGTAGCACAAGACTTGAGGAAAAGACGGATTCGCGCTTTTCCTGGGAAGACGACCTTTAATTATGAGCTTCAGCATGCATAGCGTCGTCATTTTATTTGATAGCGTCCTACGCCGTTGTTCAATAAATTAGAAGCGGCATGCATTAACGGAGCAAACACCCAACACTTTTCTGTGAGGACCGTGTCTCTTAAACTTCTGTCGCCATGTGACGCAACCTTTAGTGGTTGATCTTGTGTATGTGCTGTAGAATGTCGTGCTCTGCCTGCGCTACACACGTTGCACTCGAATAACGCGTTTTTCAGCGCATTACTGCTGTCACGGCAAAAATAATAGTGGGGGGGTGGGGGTGAATGACGATGCAGCTGAAGGGAAGACCAAGGTCCGCTGTGGCGCGCCCAGAAGCATTATAGCGCGTTCAATGTGTGCATATTATTATTACACAACGGAGGGCGCAGCTCGTAATGCGCTGCTGTTTCGGTGCGACGGAAACAAGATAAATGCGAGGCACCACCACAGAGACGACAAAAAAACGGGCGCGTCCACCATTCGTTCTTTACTCGCGTCGCGAATTCGAGGAAGAACAATAGAAGCGCTCGAGAAGAGCTCCCCAAATGCCAGACGTCGCAACACTGAAAACAACAATGGCAAAAGCCTCGAATAGACGAAGCATGGCACTCGACCGACAAGAACTTTTCGCTGCACTCCAAACGCCTGACGCGACCTTTCAGCCGCCTGTCCTGGCGGACGCCTGGGAACGTACCGCTGCAAAGGTTAAGGCCAAGCCCTTGCTCGTGTGTTTCCTGAGAAACTTTGCCGCACGTCGCGTCAGTGAAACACGCTTGCGCAACAAAGCGCTAAAACTATTTACCCCGTCACCGTCTCGGTAGATAGTCACTGTAGCGTCCACTGTTTGTAAAAGGCATCAGTGGGATTCACCACGTGGCCCTGTTAAGTGAATTTATCATCGCCCTTTTGGGCGCTTTGAGCACTGGCTGCAGTGAACGGGTGGTTCTTTCGTTGCTTGGCTGCATTATTTATTTATTTATTTATTTATTTATTTATTTATTTATTTATTTATATTTATTTATTTATTCAAGTACTGTTTTTTACATGGCGAGTTGCTCAGGCATTCAAAGTGACATAAAACTGGGCGGGTGACGGAACACAAGTAGAAGTTGACGGCACAGGTGCAGTCTAACAACTGGGTGTGTTGAAATACATCAAACTTCTACTTCTGACTACACACATGGGCACAAGCACTCCCGGCGATATCACACACTATATTCAATATTCTTTATCTACTCTAAATATTCAAGTTCTTGTTTGCTTAGATAGACGTCATACTGCACGCCATGTGGCCCAAGCAGGAGTGGCAAGGTTCATCATAAATATACACACAAAGCAAAACTGAAAATGAGAAACAAAGTCCGGCAAACAAACTCTGAATCGAAAAGGATTAGGATGTAGTGAGGATGTAATCCTGCATTGATTCAAGTGAGTCCAAATCATTAAAAGGTGTCAGGTTTTATTCTTCTATAGTTTGGTGGAAAACAGAAATATTTAAAAAGTTTAGGCCTGGTAACATAAGGGGAGAGGGGGATGGAGTGGGAATGACGGATTTACCTTGTCTCAGAAATGGTTATGTAAGTTCTGGGATCTATGAGAAGCCGGCTACAATTTTTAGAAAACTGCGGCGTTTCCTCCTCAAAGGTGGATGCACACAATATATACACCAATGGGCGTGCAGTCTAGAGTGACGTCATGGGCTGGATGGCCGGTGACCCCACGCGCCCTCGGAAAATATCACCTATGCCTGCACAGGACTCTTTCTCTGGTCGCGGAGGCGATCGCCTGCCTCGTGTCGGTCGTATGGGTGGTGCCTCCACCCAGTTCGTAAGTTGTAATCTACTATAGACCCTTTCCATATTTGTGAAGCGAGGTAGGCGCCGTCGGCGCATTGACGTGCTTGTAGCGCGCGGAAGGCTTCCCATCGCTCTGTGCTCGCAGGCAGCTTTGCAGTTGCTGTGGCAGTTGTCATTTGATCATGGGGGCAAGCTTTGGGCTGGGCCGAGCGTATCACGCGCCGCGGCGTCACTACGAGCGTCTCAGTATGTCAACGGCCCCTACGCCGTTACAAACATGGAATAGGACTATAGTCCTATATAAATCTTCTAGTGGTAGTGACCTGAAGGTCACTACCACTAGAAGGTCACTACCACTACCCTTTGCTCTCAATTGTGGTGAATCCCTAACCGTGCAGGTGAATTATTAAATGAATAATATATAAATAAAAATAAATAAGGCAGGACAAATATGGAACAGCCTCCATGTGTATTGCGTGCTCGTTTCGTCATTAATCTTTTGGCACTCCTGAATTTCACCATCCAGCAGTCATCTAATTCATTCAGCATCGAAGGTTGCTTTGATAAGTATTGGGACGTTGGGGTGCTTAATGCTTGTGAAGAGCTGCCTGACAAAATGAGGTCATTGTGAACGTGCATGCGGTTGCCTTTATGCGAACCCAGCCATGTAAGCGTATACACACAGTGAGTGACATGACGAGGTGAATAGCCTATTCAGGAAGACCGGCGTTTCTTGCTCCTCAGTGCTCATTTTCAGTGGGCTCGAAGTCTTGTTAAACTATGCTCGTGCTTTTGTGATATCACAAGCCTGCCTGTAAAACCAGCACTACATATTGTTTCTA